GTTGGAGCCCGCGCAGGCGCAGACTCTCCACAAGTGTGCATTCGCAGAGACCACGAAGAAAAAACATATTTATACAGAGTATGTATTCATATAGTGTTGTCATTAGGGCTCTTCAAAGAACATGGGAAGAGGGGGTGTTATACATACCAATTTAATATGTGCTTGCTTCTGGTATTTTTCACTATAATACTGTTCTTGACGAAGATTAAGCAACTGCTGCTGTTGTTTATCCTTCAGCTCTATTAACTTTTGAGTCATTTCTGAATCAAGAGTAGCCAACTCTTGTTCAACTGTTGAAGAGCTGTGATCCGGGCTGCCAGTTTCACCCCTGTAGAAGAATATCGATGAAGAAGCATAATTTACACAAGCTTGTAAATTAGCTCAGGTATATGTGTCTCTCTCTCTTTGTGAACATGCTGTTAGGTAACCCATCTTGATAGTAAATCATTTCAGGTTGATTGTACAGATGTTTCCTGGATCGTGACATCCAGGACGCAAATAAATTATGTTCAGAAGTGAACCATACTAAATTACCTGCAATTTAATAAGACCATACACATGTCTGCTTAGACTGAGGAGATTTGAGTCCATATACTGATGAAATGTGTGTATCACAGTCAGTTGCTTCTTAAAATGGTTCTACTGCAATGCATGCAGCATGGCAGCTAAAATGGTTTTTCTCTTTCAAGTACAATGTCTGTTAGGGCTGGGCGGTTTCGTTTCGTAATTTGTTAAAAATTCGTTATTTTTTTATAACGAAGCGATTTTGAACCATTCAGGAGCATCTAAAAAATGAAACGAATTTTTCAATTCATTTTGTAATTGCTTCGTATTCGTTTCGTATTCGTTTCGAAATCGTTTCGAAATCGTTTTGTTATTATTTCCGCATGTCTGGGGCAAGTTTTATAGCTGTTGTTTGTTTAATCAGTGAAAAAAAATTATAAATATCACACCAACAGTCAACAACAGAGGGAGAGGGAAGCTTCAAAAGTTCCCCCTGTCCCATATGGAGGTTTTTTAGCGTATTGCGCGGTCGCGTCCGCCATTAACGAATCGATTCGTATTCGTTTCGAAATCGTTTCGTAATTGTTTCATAATTTACGAAATTTCGTAAATATCGAACTTTTTTAAAGAAAAATTTCGGAATTCTTTTAAATATCGAAACGCAAAAAAACCCAAAAAACGAATCGAGTTTAGAAACAAATTTTTCCGTGGTTGCCCAGCCCTAATGTCTGTCACTATTTTAACTCATGTTGAAAGGTTGATAGATTACATTAACTGAGCATAGATAATATGTTAGTGAGATATATCAGAGAGTATATGTGTGTATGATCTGTCTCTCTCGCTCTCTATCCATGTTAATGTAATCGATGAGTCTTTCAACATAAGTAATATATCACTGATCTTTCATTAACTTTCTTAGGAGACTCCTCATCCAGAGTTTAGGGATGATAATGAGATTAAATAGGATCCCTTAAGTATCAAACACACCTGCTCAGAATGTGTTTGTGTGTGTACCAAAGTGATGGAATGCAGATCAAGTGTGCTGAAGTAGTTTGAGATGGACTACAAATCAGTGTTCAGTTCTCTCTTGGCCATGGAAGGCCACTTAGTAATACACTCTCACCCTCAGAGGAAAGTCAAGGTAAATCCCCCGTGAACAAATCTTACCAAGTTATAAATTCACTTTAGGGTTGCCATAAGGCAGAAACAGCTTGAATGAAAACAGCATCAGTAACAACCACATATACTCTCCAGTTGCTTGTCATGTTAAGGTGATCCCCTGAATTCCATGAAGTTTTCTTAGGCAAGAAATACTCAGAGATTGTTTTGCTACTGTAAAATATAGCTTATAGCTCCTGTTATTCATAGATGGTCTGCCATTAAAGTACGATCTAATACTGACTCTGCTTAGCTTCCAAGTGAGATGCAATCTGGTGCCTTTAAGATAATTACATGCCATTTAAGTTTAATACATGAGGAAAAAACCTAGATACACTTCAAGGCAGCACTCTTGCATTGAGGTTGCTCATACTCAATGAGCAGCCAGGCTCCAAGATCTGGAAACTATGTTTGGGAAGACGAGTGACCCCTTAACAAATATGGCGTGTAACCAGGCACAAATGGAGATGATATTACAACATTGGGAATACAGTTGGCCCTCCATTTCAATGGGTTTTACATTCGTGGATTTGATTTCTCATGAACTTGTACCTGCTTTTTAATTAGTTAGATCTCCTTCCTCCCCTCTCTTTCTCCTCCTCTTCCTCCTGTCCTGACAAGAGCATCATTATTCATACTGGAGAGGTGTGTGTGTGTGTGTGGGGGGGGGGGGGGGGGGGGGGGGGGGGGGGGGGGTTCCTATACAGCAGCTTTGGCCTGGGTAGTGGGAGTGATAACTACTGCCTCTACCTATCTCCTGATGCTGGAGCTGCTGTGTATATATTCTTAAGAGATGGGCAGGGGGAAAAGTTGCCACTATTGCCACCCTGTCTACCTCTCAAAGTTGGTGCTGTTGAAGTAGTTATTACCCTCCCTTTACCATCTGGGGCCAGGGTTGCTATGTGAATGTGCACATGGCAACCCCAACTTCGGGAGGTGGACATAGTGGTAGCAATGATCAATGATAGCTACTGAGGCTGGGGATGCTGTTCAATGTGCACTCAGCTCTAAAAGGGTGCCCAACAGCAAGGCACAGATTTTTTGTGTTGACCACGAGTTGGGGCTGCCCACCTTCACTGTACAGTATTTGTGGGTTTTTTTTTGTCATTTTGCAGAATTCAGGAACCTATAAAGCCCTAAACGGTTCTGGCCCAGCCTACCTATCCAAACGCATCTCTTCCTACGAACCCTCCAGGAAGTTAAGATCATCTGAGGAGGCCCTGCTCTTGATCCCTTCTGCTTCGCAAGCATGCTTGGCGGGGACGAGGGACAGGGCCTTCTCTGTGGTGGCCCCTCCGCTGTGGAACTCCCTGCCTAGGGATATTAGATCAGCCCCCTCCCTCCTGACTTTTCGGAAGAGAGTAAAAACCTGGCTCTTCAAGCAACATTTGGAACTTCGGAATAAATAGTCAAGCTTGAGATGGAGAATGACCCAGGAATGACCAAGATGATGAAACGGATGAGGATTGGAATGAGAGGATATAGCTCTTTTTAAATTGTTATTGCACTGTCTTTTTTGTCTAAATGCACTTAATTGTTTTTGCTTTTTGAATGTATGTATTGATGGCATCGAATTGTGCCGATATGTAGACCGCCCTGAGTCGCCTGTGGGCTGATATGGGCGGGATATAAATAATGTAAATAAATAAATAAATAAAACCACCACAAATATGGAGAGCTGATTGTATGCTCCAAGTTTAGAAGCACTTGTCTTAACTGACAGTCTTCTAATTGCACTTTTTATACTATGTGCATTCTGTTTTGGATATTGTGGCTGGCTGTATTTCAAAATCCATAAATACGCTTTTGATTAGTCAGCTCTGTTCCTTTGAAAACTTGAACATCTCAGATCCTGATGTGAAAATATTTAACGACTTCCAATGAAAAGATTTCACCAAAGGCAAAGGGTCTGTCAAAGGGTAGTAAGCTGAACAGAATAACATGCCAAGATAAGGGAGAAAATAATTTTCATAAAAAGGAATCTGAGCAACAAACTCCCCAAGGATCAGCATGATATTTTTGGTCTTGGGAAAGAACACCAACTATAAGGGGTGAGGTGAGAAGGGGGAGCAACGAACAGCCCATGTGAAATAATACTACAGGAACAACAAAGCCAGCACAAATGAAATATACCAGTCTGCACCTAACAGATACTGAGAGGTGTGTACAGCACTACCCAGGTATAAAGCTTGTTTCCTAGGAAACCAGAGAGTCTGATAAAGGGCAGAGTTTATTTAAGGCTAGAACTACTGCTTGAGAAAGATTGTCCTTCTGTGTTTCGGGGGGGGGGGAGCTGTGTGCAAATGTGAGACTGAGAAACCCCAACCTGCCCTCTCAAGGGACAAACACCTAAACAAGTGAAAATAGTTTAGATTCACTAAAGCCAATGGCACCAAAGAGATCCATGTTGATGTCTGGTGTAGTTTCCTGTGGATAATTTTATTAACTTACTTTATAAATAAAGAAATAAATTCCCAAGGCAGGAACTTAAGGCAGCTTTGCAGTGGGTTGAACAGAGCGATCACTGAAACAGACACTGGCCAAATATAGACTGTTTTACCCATCCCTAGAGGACAGGATTAGATTTATGGGGACACATATTTAAATGCTGACTTGTCTTTGAAATGTATGTGAATGCAGAAATAAACAGAACAGATTGCTGAGTGAGAACTGTGATGTTATAAGTTTGTATATAAAATATTCTCCTGATTTCATGTGTGTATGTGAAATACGTAGCTGTTGAGAAGGAGCAGAGAATAAAGTGTCAAAGTTGGTGGAATGTTTGAGGAGATTGGCATGAGATAGTTAATGAATGACAATTGGAAGTTCAGTTTTAGTGAGAGAGTGAACGTGAGCAGAAATGAGTATGAGGGTCCTTCCAGACAACCTCCTAATTGGGACAAATAAGTGGGTTGAAAAATGGCAGGATCTTAAGGAGAGTCCAAACACAGTCACAATAAATGCTCCCCAGTTTCCTAACAGGTTCAGTTGTAGCGGATTTTAGAAATCCGCAAAATGGGAGAGTGGGACATGTCGGAAGTTTACTTTGAATTTTTTTATTGACTCTTTGAGATTCACTGGACCTCTTAAGTGCTGATCTGGATACTTAAGTGTGCACATAAGGATATTTCTTGGCATTATCTCTCCTGACCCTCCTGATGCATTCGTTTTCTCTATAATATAAAATGATTATATTTTATTCAAATTGTATCTGATTTTTCTTTCAGCACAAGATTCAAGGAAACTTACAATATAGATTAAAAGTACAGATAAAAACCTAGTAAAGCCAACTTTTTGAAATGCATTAAACAGGCAATCCTATTAAAACTCTAATTAAAACATTTTAAAATGGAGTTAAAACACAATAAAGAAGATAAATGTATAGCACACCCCATTAATGTATAGCATGCCACAAACTCTTCTGGGAGAAGTTACCACGAAGGCTCTCTTCTTGGACTCTGAACCTGGAGGCCCAGGTGTTGGCGGTGGCCAGAAGGGCCTTTGCACAATTTAAACTTTTGCACCAGCTGCATCCATTCCTTGCGAAGCCAGATCTGGCCACGGTAGTACATACCTTAGTTATATCTCGTTTGGATTACTGTAACACACTTGACGTGGGACTGCCTTTGGAGAGTGCTCGGAAACTTCAGATGATCAAAAGAGCTGCAGACAGGTTGTTAACTGGGCCTGGCTATAGGAAGCAGACAACTCCCCTGTTGCAGCAGCTCCATTGGTTGCCAGTCTGTTTCTGAGCACAATTCAAAGTGCTGGTTATGACCTTTAAAGCCTTATGGTTCAGGTCCAGGCTATTGGGTGAACCATATCCCCTTGTACGAACCTGCCCAGGCCCTGAGATCTTCAGGAGAGGCTCTTCTCTTGATCACACCTCCATCTCAAGCTCTGTTGGTGGGAATGAGAGGGAAGACCTTCTTGGTAGCTCCCCATGACTCTGGAACTCCCTTCTTCCTAGGGAGGCCAGAATGGCCCACTCCCTGCTGCCTTTTCAGAGGCAGGCTAAAACTTTCTTATTCAGACAGTCTTTTAAAGATGAAGGTGTTTAGGATATAGTCAGGAGGTGCTGTGGCTTTTAACTTTGAATATGTTTTGATGGATTTCAACTATGAATTTTTTTAGTGCTGTATATTTGTATATTTAAAATTGTGTACTAATGCTTTTATATTAATCCACTTTGAGTCCCCTTTGGGGAGATAACGTGGAATATATATATATATATATATATATATATATATATATATATATATAGTTAAGGGTACTGAAAACTAATGAAGTTAGTAGAATTAATAAGGACACACCTATCCAATTCCAAGCAGAGATATTCTAAAGACAACCAAAACAATTTCTGAAGGTCTGAAGTTGGATTGAAATTGATCTTGATAATACATTTCATTCAGACATTTCTGAATTACTCAAGACCTTTCTCCAAGAAAGGGATTTTGGAGATTGACTGATAATTCTCCAGAAGGGTGATCCTTTCAGGGGTTTCTTTTAAGAGGTCTAGAAATGTATCTTTCTGCAGTGAAAGTTTCATTATTCCACTTACTTCCTCAGCCTGGCCTTCTTTGACAGTTTTATCAGCCAGGAAAAGCATAGGTCCAACACAGGTCCATCTGTGGTGGCAGTTTGTGGAGCTTTGGCATAAATAGCACGCCAATAAAATCCCATCTCCAGGTCCTTGAGCAGAACGTGGGACAGGGTACATGGTGAGGGGCACCAAATCATGACAGACCCCTGCAACTCTGCCTTTCAACACCAAGGCCTGTACAGCGAACCCATATGGACAGAATATGGGAGGTTCAGCATTTTCCCCACCCTGTTTCATCCAGCCAGATTTTTCTAACACAGGTATTGATAACATGATCATCTAGGATCAAGTTTAGTAATGTCTCCCCATTTCCTCATCTGTCACTGAGAAACAGCATCTGCCAAGCTACTTAGGGTATTTGAAGTGGCGGGGGGGGGGGGGGTTAGTGACAACTAATATCCTGTGGATCTTCCCTCTGTGACACTGCTGCCCTATTCTGTATTTCTTTCTACCAATTATTTTTTCAGTGGCTGCTCCCTGCTTCCATATTCGCCACAACMCTCCCCCCCCCCAATTTTCAATAGGCCAAGTCATTAAAAACATTTTCTTCCCTCATAAAAGAGAGATGTGAAGGCCAACATCCTTCTACAGAATAGAAACAAACTCTATAGAACATACTTTTTCTTACTGTCTCTTTTTGCTGTTTTCTCCAAGACTGCCCTCCGTCTCAGGTAATCATTCTGGATTTCATTGTACTTTGCTGTATGTTCTTTTATAAGATCAGTGGTTTTCTTGTGGTGTTTCTTCACAAGATCCTTCATTTCTTTGTAGTGCTTTTTCTGAAGTTTTACAAATGCTTTTTGTTGTTTGAGTTCTTCAATAGTTTGTGCTTCAACCTCTGTAATAACGAAAAGCAATGTTCCACTGCTGTCACTATCAGACATTTATTTATTCACAGGGACAAGCAAATGACCGTTAAAAATGCACAGGAACAGGAAATTAAGAGACTTAATCATACTGCTCTTTATGTCCCTTAGCTATGTATTTTCCCCGCAATGACACAATGGTAAAGACATACTTGTATTATGTGGCATTCAAGAAAGTTTTCCATAGTTTAAAACAACTTAAGCCAAGTATTATATGATGAAAAGAAATATCGCATGTGAAGTAGCCACAAAACTAAATTCTGCTGTTAGTTCCAACTAGACTAAAGCCACTGAATTAAATAGATCAGCTCACCATTCATCAATTATTCAATGGCCTATATTTATTGGAACTAACCAGTAGGATTACCACCGTAATGTGTGAGCCAGTATATCCATGAAGATCAACTGATCACATCTATAAATTTCTTACCAGTCAGAACACTCTGAACAAGATCTTCTGTTTTTGCTGGCACTTTCACAGAACCTAAAGACAAATAATAATGATAATAACCACTGTTTTGAAATGACTAACAGAAGCTTCAGACAAGAGGTATGCTACTTTTCTCTGTAAGGTAAGAAAACACCCTTTAAATTATACCAATATTTTAAATCTATATTTGCATCTAATCTTCCCTCCCTGGCGGTGAATGACTTTGTATCTTGTCCTTTTTATTTTGTTTTCCAACCACATAGTTCCTTTGGGTTATACTTTCACTTTGGGGTTATTGAACAGTTATATCCTTGGGGTGTGTTGCCAAGGGCAAGCTGAACATTTTAACCCCTACCCACAAATTATCCTGTTCACTCCTTCTGCTTAAATTCTGGTTGCAATCCCTGTCATCCCCTTCTTCCTCACTTTTCTCTCTAATTGTGGATTGTGGAGTTACTAATTTCCATCCAACTTTCTAGGAATAACAACAACAACAACAACAATAATTTATTTATGCCCTGCTTTATCTCTCCAAAGGGGACTCTGAATGTTGCAAACTGAAGCCCTGTTGAGAGAGTTTAGTGGGCTCTCAGTATCTGCTGGGGTCCCTAAAGTCCATGGATGCTCAATTCCCATTATATAAAATGGAAGGATACAATGGTTTCCTTTATATAAATTAGTGCTGGAGAAACCTGAGAATCTGTGAAATGACAGACTGTAGTGAAATATGTCTGCACATCAGGGAAATGTTGGACCATTACAAAAACAAGGTTTCATCTTGACATTTTCCCCAAATTGTTTGGTTGAATCTGTGGTACAGAACCTACTTTGACTGCTTTTGCTCAGTGTGTCCTTTGATGTCACTAGCACATACAAAAAGTGAATCCTTGCTTCATCAAGGTTGGGAGGTCATGTCGCAAGGAAAAGGACTGACTGTTGTGACATTGTGATGATGCTGTTTCATACTGAGTTATCAGTATTCTTCTGCTTGACCTTCTGTAGGCACCTTTTCCTGGCTCACCTAACAAGAAGGCTTTTACTCTGATGCGGACATTTGCCCAACAACATGTACATGGATTGAAACTCAGAAAAGTTACTTTTATGGATTGCAACTTTCAGTAGGATGGAGAGAAGCCACCATGATCTCATGCCCTGATGCTCTCTGTCTGAAAAAGAGGGACAGGCTATTGTGACTTTGAACTGATACTGATCACTGGAAGGCAAGAAACTGTCCAGCATGACCTCAAGATAAGGCAGCCTGCCTGAAGAAAAGTGCAGTATTCTCCTAAAACTGGACTAAGAAAGGAGTGTCTGATCCATTCTGCATCCTAGCATTCCAGATGAGTGCCACAGTTGAAGGAGAAATACAAATTTGTCACTCTGAAGGTTGTGAACTGGATTCAATACCAGTATGTGCTCTCCAAATGCCTACATTAGGCTGGAGGTTAAGATTCTATGTTTTGACCTGGCCTTGGTTTTTAGACCTGCTTTAAAAAGTAATTCCCAACTGATTGATAAGGAATGTTTTTACCACTTTACTGTAAATCGTTTCAGCAGTCAAATGATAAATATATTGATACATAAAGTGAAAGGACAGAAGTACAAGCAGCTAGCTGTACTGCCATCTTGATAAGGGTCATTTTCAAACTTAAAAGCAAAACACCTTACTGATTAGTCATACCGTCAAACAGATACAAACAATACCAGAACAAAAATTTGACCCCCTTCCTTTTTTCTGTAGTTGTATTGTATTTTTTCTGGGACATCCATACAACAATTGACTGATTGTGACTCATTCAAGATCACATAATGAGCTTTCTAGCTGACAGGATGTGCTACTTATTTTGCTACTGACGATAAGACATAGTTCATTGGCACTGAAACAGCTAGTTACAAATACAACCTTTCAAAAAGATGCAAATGTTTCATACATCTCAGGTCTGTGAGCGTTTGCCTCAGAAGTTTATTCATTTGCATGCCTCCCATCATCCTCATAAAAAGGCATTACATTAATAATACAATACATTCCAGTTCTTACCTGGTGTTGGTTGACTGGGAGCAACCTGAGTTGATGGTTTAGGTGTGAGGGAAGTGGTGTGGTTTACTCCATTTTCAGCTGGTGCAGGCTTCGGTTCATTGTGAGCTTCTGAAGGGGTGTCTCCCTGTTCTGCCTATCAATATAAAACACTTTCTATTAACATGCATGGTAGTGAATCTTGTGTTTATGAAACTTGACCAAACCTGTTGACATTCCAGAACTTGGAAAAGGTAAGTGCTTTTAACTACAGCTCCCAAACATCATCAGCTAATATGACCAGTTACCATCCTGACAGGAAGATTCTGAGAGTCACCCCAAGTCCCTTCGGGGAGAGAGGTGCAGGTTAGAAATAAAATTTATTATTATTAATAATAATAATAACTTAATTTTAATACACCACCTCCATCTCCCTGGAGGTACTCAGGGCGGCTTACATGGGGCCAAGCTCAATCAACATAATTAAAACATAACACATTAAAATGTACAACAACCGTTTAAAACAAAGTAAGAACAACAACATTATAACAATCTGTAAAACAGGCATCAAACCAACAACCAATAGGAAAATTCAATGTCTCATCATGGGTGGGCAGAATGGTGTAGCAACAATTTAGAGGATAGGGGTAGTGAGTAAAGTGCATAACAAGAGTTATTATTAACTCTGGTTCAAAAAAGTTACTTTTCCAGTCTCCAAATTCTACCTCCATTAATGTACAGCTCTCTAACCTTAGCCTGGTATTCAAATGTTACACTGCAAGCATGTTAAAGAAGGTTGCATTTGTACAGTGACTACATAAAAGTTTCATTTCCATTTCAGAAAGCACTTTTGAAAAAGAAATACTTCTAGCTTCTATTGGGTTTTTTTTTACCTCCTCTGATTAATTATGAAGGAGGTAAAACGCATCTTGTCTTCTGAAAATAAAAATCCTGCAATTAATTACAAAATCTGTGGCTGCATTTATTTAATTGCCCGGAAATAGTATTTAAGCATTTTTTTTAGATCACTTTATTCTTTTGTTATTGTTCCATGCGGCTGCATAAATGCAAGTTTATTTTACAAGGCATACATAGCATAGGTTGCATTTTAAAACATGGTTTGTCTTTCCATAACCACTAAATTTGTTAACACTTTGAGTGGGCCAGTAGTATAAAATATTTTTGTGGTTCCTTGTATTTAGATCAGTTTCTTTATGCCTCTATTCAAATCCTTCCTTGAAAGATAAGGCTTATGCCATCTAACAAGTCCAGATAGGACAGCTTCTGCCTAGAAATCTCAGTATGCTACTCAATTGTAACACAAAAAGTATGGCGATTAAAAAAACAATCTATCAGTAGAATACATTAGGCACGAAGGAATAGAACATTTTGCAAAATGACAACTCTATTTTCCATTTTAATGTCCCAGAAGTCTAATTACTGATTCACCCCCAAGGCACATGAATGTTCCCAGGACAGCTGTCCCATAATTATATTTGACAGATAAGCTTACACAAACAGTACCTCCATTTTTGCCGCATGTCGGATGAGTGTGTCTGTAATGCTCAACTTGTTTAAGCATTCTTCACAACCTTTCCTTCCTTGTCAGCTCTCACTGCCCATGTTGAAAGCTCATTCTCCCCCTCCCTCCCCCCTTTTTTTTCTTTTACAACATGCAAAACATCTTACAATTGTTTCATCTGTGGTCATATCTCTTAAAGCACACAGAAGATTCCTGGAACACTCATGGCATGGGGAGAAAGCATTGTGAGACACTTCATCTCCTTGAGTTATGAACATTTCTATTAGAAAAACCTGTTGCCATGGCACCTCGGTGAGTTAGTGTCACTCAGCCAGCTTTCATTTTCATTCTTCATTGGTAATAAACCAATGGGGATGGGCAGTTCTCTAAGCATTTAACCCCTTCATAAGAGCTCATAGGTACAGAAATTGGGGTACGGGCATGAATAAATTATGCTGAAATTTGTTTTAGCATTCCCCTCTGTGAACATTATACATTACAAATAGATCTCCACTGCACCAATTTAACTCTTTACAAGTTGCAGGTTGTGGGTGTTATCTTCCTTGCAGAATGCATCATTTCTTGTATGGGGGCAGTGACAAGAAAGTGATCACTGCTTTAGGTTAACTCACTAGAGAATCTGTTTTATAAGGCACCTATGGCCTCATCTATTTTCATCAACTGCCTCAAGACTATGGAATGACCTGCTTGAAGAGATCCAATAGCTAATTGAGTTGTCAGAATTTAAGACCCAACTGAGGACCCATCTATTCCGGCATGCCTACCCAGTCAACTTTGAACCATGGGTTTTGGATTTGGGTTCTATTCTCATGTGTTCTATGTATATTTATCTTTGTCCCATGGTGTATTTATTTTGTAGTAGGGTGTTAATACATCTTTGGTGTATTTATTTTATAGGGGTGTGTATATATAGATATATCAGTGAAGAGGGGAGTGAACGGGGGCAGCCAAAAAGACACAGCTCCATCATGTCTCATCCACCAGCAGTTGAGATTGAATCCCGGAACTGATAGAAGGACAAGTGGCTATAGGGTCGCACACACATATACTCCCAAGGGCAGTGTACTATCTGCAGTGCACCAAATCAGTCCCTTTGATATGACAAGATATTTGATCAAACCCAGATTCTTACCTCTTTCTTTACTTCTTCTTCATCCTCCAGAGTCAGTGCTGCCAGCTGTATTGCTCTCTGCTCCATCAAGTTCACATATCTGATTGGGTTGGACAAGGCTTCAATAACATCTGGAAATCAGACAGAAATGTAGAACCAAACCTTTATTTGTTTTTGTATGGCAGTGCATCTGTTTCACAGAAACTGAATGGCCAGCTTCAGAGCCCTAAGTTGCTATTTCCCGGTCTGTTCTTCTAAAAAGAAACTGATGATGCACGATGATGCAATCTTATGCATGTTCACTGAAAACACTTTTTAACTTCATAAAGGCCTCTTCTACACTGCCATATAATCCAAATTATCAAAGCAGATAATCTACATTATAGGAGTCGAGACTGCCATATAATCCTGTTCAAAGCAAATAAGCTGGATTTTATATAGCAGAGTGGAAGGGGACTAAGGCCCCTTCCACATAGCTGTATAAAATCCATACTGAACTGGATTATATGGCAATGCGGACTCAGATAACCAAGTTCAAAGCAGATATTGTGGATTATCTGCATTGATATTCTGGGTTATATGGCTGTTTGGAAGGGCCCTAAGTCTTTTTTCTAATGATCGGTGTACAGAGTTTGAAATCACAAGATCATTCCAGCTGTGTTGTCACCCATTAGTATTACATTTCTCTTTAATACAGGGGTGGTCAACAAACAACATACAGATTCCACAAAACCTCAAGATCTTTATTTAGTGGCCCTGAGCTCTTACCCCCCAAATACTGCCAAATATGGTATAATATAAAAGTGAAAATACACGTTATGTTTTAAATCAGTCTTGAAGGATTTTAACTGTTTACTTTTGAATACAATTCATATTTAATTCTATTTTAATATTTGTATATTTTAGGTTTTAAATTATATGTCATTTGGTTTTACTATGAGCCACTTTGAGTCTCTTCTGTAGAGAGGAAAGTGGGATATAAATATGCACAATAATAATAATAATAATAATAATATCTTTGTACCTCAAAGGCTTCTACCTGGCTTGATGGACCTTGGTTCAAACTTGACACATATGCCCTTCATTATCTAACTTAAAACAGTGGGGTTTAAAATCCCACACCATTTGCTATTGTCTTATTTTTAAAATTAATTACACTGACAGGTTGTGAGTTTCATGCTGTAGCACTCAGGTGCAACCACCAAAGGGCAGTCTATAGATTGATAAGACTTCCTAAGTGGGAGAGATGACAAATGGAAGTGGGCGAAAGCACTATCAGTAGGGAGACATCTAGGAGTCCCTTTCAGAAGGCCTGCCCACAGAAATTTGAAGGCTACATACATCATCAGCAGGGAGACACTATAATAGCTTCTTAAGGGACCACAGCATTGCCGGGAGACATTATAAGGAAAACCTTCTCAGAGGGCCAGTCAAAGATGGAAGCAAACTGGGGGAGGGAGAATTAAGTCCTTAAGACCACTTTGGGTCCCCCCAGGGGTGAGAAAGGCGGTATAAAAATACTGTAAATAAAGCTTGGGTGGTAATTCAGTTTTTAACAGAATCGTGTATTCAGAGCAGTGTATGCATGAAGAAAAGAATTACCACTAGCCCTTGTACCCAGGATTGCCCAGGTGTGAATTTTCCAATGGGATCATTCATAAAATTGTAAAGCTAACAATGAGTCTTTCTAATAAATACCATTAGAAAATGCATAATACTGGCAAAATTATGGAACTTTATCAGTATTTTGAAAAGAATGAATAACACTAAATATGAAGACTTTTTTTGGTACTACATCTATGCCAGTGATGACGAAGTGGGAAAAACCTTCTTCTTGTATTTAAATGTCATTATTATTGTTGTTATTGTTATCACTATATGTTATATAGAATCACAGAGTTGGAAGAGACCTTGTGGGCCGTCCAGTCCAGCCCCCTGCAAAGAAGCAGGAAAATTGCATTAAAATATGTTTTTATGACAAATGTTAAACTTCCACTCTTATGTCTAACTTTTGTTTTGTGTACTTTAGTGTGTGTGTGTGTATATATATATATATATATATATATATATATAATATGGAAATATTTTAATATGAGTATTCTATGGAGTGTTTTTATATGATTATGTGTTTTAGCAATGTTGTAACCCGCCTCAAGCTGTGAGGAAAAGAGGGTAAGAAATACAGTTGTTGTTGTTATTATTATTATTATTATTATTATTATTATTATTATTATTATGTTGTTGCTGTTGTTGTTGTTGCTGTTGTTGTTGTTGTTATCATCATTCATGTTTGTGAAAGGAAATGAAGTTATGTTTTGTTAAAATGTTTATATGCTTCTATGAGTGTATCACTGTCTGGGATACCTGTTATTATTAATGATATATTAATAGAATATATTTGTAAAAGAAAAAAAAGAAGCAACTTGGTAGAATTAAGGGAGTGACTGTGCAGCACACTGGAGATGTGACAATTTATTAACAGTCTTTACTTCCATAGCTTTTGATTATATGGGATGTTTATGCTTCTGCTTTACTATGTTATTATATGTTCAGAGCACCAAAGCAAATGCAAAACAAACCACTTCCAATTCAAAACACGAATTCTCTCCTCATAGATATTAGTGTTACCTGCATATGTATCAGGCACATAGTCTTTAACCTCTATGTATACGAATAAGGCTGGCAAAATCAAAGGCTGGTTCCTTTCATTCCTTAGACAAATATAGTGATAGCCTAAAAAGAAAGCAGGAAAACATCTATGTCAATTAACTTTTAAAAGTAGGAATTATAAAACAAAGATGAGTCAAGAAATAGTGGCAAAACACTTAACAGAGTAGAATAGCTGAATTCGCGTGCATGAGAAATAGACTTTGGAACAGGTATCTTCTCTTGAAATACAAGTTCCAGAATCCTTCTTGCTTGTTTGATCCTCCCAGCAGTGGAGATGGAAAGCTGTCTATCAATTTGCACTGTCACAAAGTCAGGGAGAAAGAGGGGGAAGTGCTGGCATGGGGAAGCTGGAAATTTCTTTAAAAGCTTCTTGCATGATCTTGTAACAGTTTTTTTAAAATAAAATAAAATAAAATTTTGCTGCCACCACTTGAAAGCAAGTGAAGCAAAGAGGGCAATTTTATGGGAGCTGCTGACTTGCAAGGATGGCTTGAATGGCAGAGAGTTCACACTAAATTATACTGATGGGTTTGTTTTTAAAGGGGGTTAGATAGACCTGATTTTGAGGGAGTTTTTCATTAGTACCAAGACAATTTTCTAGGAAGAATCTGGTGAAGCCAGCCAGCAAATGTAGTAATGACAACATCCATAAGTGTTGTGCCAAAATATATCGAAGCCTAATGTAACAGGGGCTGATTTTCAATATTCCTTCAGAAGTGCTGGTTTACTAGATTCCTCATAAGTACCACAATCTGTCATTTGAAGCATCAGAACCATTACTCAGAATGAAAGACACAGCTATATGCTGATCTGTTTTAGTGAGCCTAATAAACTGTGTTTTGAAAATAGGTGACATCTCCCCATGATCTGCATTATTTGATGAGCTCTGTGTTTGGCCCCAAATATGGTAACTGCATTAACATGTGCTCAGGACCATTCCATCAGATGTTGTGTCAAGCTCTGAGAACATCCTTGTAAGCAACAAAACGTCTCTGGCTACATTCTGCGCTGGTTACATAGAGCTCAGATAAAGATAAGAAGCTGTCCTGTCCCTGCGCGCTGGGACAGGAGAGAAGTGCCATTAACTAAAACACTCATCTAAGGTTCAATTCGAAGAGGTGAGGGGAATTATAATGCCCTAGGAATAGAGAGAATATGGTCTCTGATACACTGAGAGAGACTTCTCAGACACATTCCTTCAGAGATTGCACGGATTGGGTGTCCAGGGGACCCGGGTGTTTCGCCCTAACTAGCCAAGGGGTAGGCTAGACAGGGACGCTACCTCGGCTTTGCCACCAATTTCAGAATCCATAGAGTAAGATCCAGTCAAAGTTAAACAAGTAACAATTAATAAGTTGCCCATATTTAAAACCCAAATACTGGTGTTGGTCTTGTTATTTCGTGGGTTAGCAGGCAAGCACATATGCATTAGATACTGTATATAAATTTGAATTTTTATAAAATAAACATTAACTGTCTCAACCAGTGCTGTGAGTAGGTCGGATTGAAAAGTAGTGCTAGGCCTGGTAGTTACTTTGGCCAAAGTTGTTATTAGTTGTCTGTTTGCCTTCTTGCTCAGTTTTAGAGTTCATCCTCATATTTCAGTCCTGCCCTATACACTATTTTAATTCAATCGTAATTCACTGTTAGGAATCCAAGATTACCCTACCTGGTCGAATAGCTGATACCGGCAATATTCGATGACCAATGAATTTTCCTCCTTCTTCATAGGCTGCTATCCTCAAACAAGCCAGAGAAGGCAAAACAACCTGAAGAAATATATTTTAAATATATATTAGGTGTCTTATAGTATGTTTTATGTATAAAGCAGAAATAACAAAATGCCCTTTTCAGCAATAGGTTGCTTGCATTATTGTATGTAATCTCTGAGAAATTGGAACACTTGGCACAAATATTTTTACATTAGTATACAGCTCCTAGGGGATTTCAAACTGAAACTGAGCATTTGTAATAGCAAAAGATCTATCAACAGAGACATTTAATACTGTGCAAATGTGGGTGACATTGTGATCTGTTCTGAACCCTCACAATCCTGCTATAACACTATGTAACACAAGTTTTGTTCCTGGGTTATATATGTCATCTCCTAATTGGTTCTACCATAGAACCATGGAAAAAGTTTATTAAACGGCAAATACATTGTTTTTACAGAACATCCAACAGCACATTTTGTTATAGTTTTAATATCTCATAGAGCAGTGGTTCTCAACCTGTGGGTCCCGAGGTGTTTTGACCTAAAACTACCAGAAATCCCAGCCAGTTTACCAGCTGTTAGGATTTCTGGAAGTTGAGGGTCAAAACATCTGGGGACCCACAGATTGAGAACCACTGTCATAGAGTTTCAACCAATTCAACATAGTTCGTGGAGTATAATAGCTGAAGTTTCTGGAGTATAATAGCTATTTTCCAAGTATGTACTGCACAATTAAACAGGAATAACACTTTCTAACTAGGAACATATATTTTTTTAATTTTGTTACATAGTGTAATATTTTTCTTTCTACTTGTCTGATGAAGAGGTGGGTCTTTTCTGATGGTGCAGTTCTCCTTCTGTTAATTTGCTCTCATTCCTCAGATAACACAACCGACATCACATTAGCCCTTACAGCTGACTGTTTATAGACAATGTAAAATAAGAGATAGAATGAGATGTTTGATCCCACAATTTTTGATGTCCACAAGCAGCCCATACATAATTAACTACAAGCCCATAAATTTTTAGATGGTATCTCATTCGTTGATTCATTTTCAAAGCCTTGAGAGAAACCGACTGGAAACAAAACAGGATGGTTCTAATGGCTTCTATGATACATTTATTTCATGAAGATGCAGGAATTCTTGTTTTCCACATATGAGAACCAAACATCAGTACCTGTTTGCTTTAAAAAATACTCTACACTGAATTTATACAATCAGATTAAATGTGTTGTTTGATGTGGATTTTCATCCTTCTTCTGTAATCCTCTTTATTACAATAAGAAAGAACATGGGGCAGATTATTAAAATGTTCATATTTGACACATAATGAATCATTTTATATCATGTTGCATAATTCAATTTTTAAACAAAATATATTTAAGAATATCTAGTCTAGCACTTTGCTTGCTATAATCTGATGCTATAAAGAACATGTTTACTATAGTGGTTCATGGGTGGGGCTGTTTGATCTCAGTTTAGAAGAAACTCACTGCGTGGCAATAGAACAGGCATTCTTTTCTCAAAATGTGCAGTACATGACTGCTGCTGAGGATTATAAAATCAGGTATGTAAAAGGTAGCCTGAATTATTGAAAGTGTTACATTTTATTAATTCTTAGGTACAATACAGATGTGAACCTCTTATGGTGACAGAACTGTGATCAACAATGAAATCTTACATGTATGAAATGTATTTGTACATATCCCTCAGAAACTGAGTCACTTTGAGTTTGGTATAGGATTGGAGACCATGTCACACTGTGGCTACAAGAAACAAATTTCAGTGCCGCAAAAGAAATGTCTCAAGTATGATTCATAAGAGATATAATTATGACAATCAATGAAAATGAGTAAGTTTGGTCCAAATGTTCAAAGATGGGTTAAACAAATTTATAATACGCAAAGTGCCCAAATTTTGGTCAATAGGGAACTGACTAAATCTTGTAAAATACAAAAAAGGGACTAGACAAAGTTATCTCCTCTTCCCATTATTGTTTTTGTTGGTAATATGGAACAACACAATAAAAAGGCAGAAGACATCAGAAGACATCAAAGGGAGTAAAAGGAAAAAAGTGATAAGTTGAAAGCCTTTGCAGATGACTTAGTGATTTTTAAGACCACCCTCTGAACAGTAAAGATCTGAACCCTATCTTGAAAGAATATGGAAGATTTCAAATTAATAAGGAAAAAAACAACAACAATGTTGACCAAGAACATTGGAACTACTGTTTTAAAACTTCCCAATAAGGCAGTTTCCCTGAGGGATGGAATTAGTAGAACGATTTAAAATGAATAAAAAGTTATTTGGATTTGTTACTGATAAACCTGAACTTGAAATGGTTTAGGACTCTAGAGATGACCATTTAATTGCAAAGTTTTATAAATTGTTGTTAAAATATGAAATGGAAGAGGTAAAGATAAATCATTGTATAGTTAATTAGGCACAAAATCTTGCTAAACAAACAGAAATGGAACAATGGCAAACAGTTACTAAGATGTGTAAAAATAGTTCTAGTGACTGTTGGAAATGTGCGGAAATAGTGGGCATGTTTTATCACATTTGGTGGTCATGTTAAAAGGCCCAGAAATACTGTGCACAAATACATGTGGGTTGCTTTTGGATTATGTGATTTTAATATTTATACTAGAATGATTTTAATGCTTTGTCCGAATAATTAATTTTTTATGTCTTATGTTTAATGGTTTTAATGATTTTAAGTCAAAGTTATATGCAATGATTAGTTATGATTTATTTGTGTTATTGAATAGTTTCCTCATTCAAATACAAATACAAAAATCTTTATTACAGTCACTGACGAGCACGAAGTGGAGAACAAGTGCCCTGGGAAGGGGAAATACACTCTCCCCATAGTGCAGTCACCAGCTACTGTCATCCTCCCTCCCTCCCTGTTTCCTCCTTGTTTCCTCTGATCAACAAACTGCTGTGGTAGAATCCCAAAGCTTGACAAAGGAAGCTGCCCAGAGCTATGCTCTCCCATAATTCCAGTGAATATTTACATTCTCATTAACAAAAACTAATACCTGCCTTCTTAAATACAATGGCCTCTTCTTCCCATACAGGATTCACTGCATTCCCTTGAGAGGTCTTGGTCTTAAGAGCTTTCCGCCTTGTGTCCACAGGAAGACCAAACATATCCACTTCTACATAAGTTCCAACTTTTTTGTCAGAAAGGAGCTGTCCAGAAATGATCTAGAAATGCCAAGTTTTGACATCAGGTTATGACCAGCCAGTTGATCACTGTGTACACAAAACACTTATGTTGACTGTTGCAATCCAGAGCAGAGAACGAGGCCAAAGATAACTATCCACCACACTTGGCTGTGAAAAACAATCCTTTTTTATTGAAGAAAAATGGTTACAAAATAAAGGAAAAATGCAAGTCAAAAGCCACAGCAAAATCAGCAAACATGAATTTAAATGGACAAAGCAAAACCAAAAGCCTCACTGGGAAAATACTGGAATCTGTTAGCAATCCACTAACCGTACTTGATATCCTAGAAATCTTTCCAAACTATGGCCAGGGAACCAGGAGAACTGCCAAGGTCTTCATCAATTCTGAAACGATGCCTGAACTGAGGCAATCAGCCTGGCGTATTGCAATTAAAACTCAAGAATCGGTTCCGTGAACCGCCCTTCTGTTTTGAAGCCAATGTTTTTAATTCTTGAATTCGGGAGGATCGACGCAAACTGAGTGATTTACTTCTGTCTTCCCAAATTTGGCCCCTTCTGTTGTCATTACAGTTAACAGGTGCAGAAGGGAGGGAAAGTTCAAGGTCTCCCTCTGAAACATTCTCATGAACACTGGTACTTTCATTTTCCAAATCTACAGAAGTTCCTTCCTCACTAATTTCAGGAACATTGGCATTTTCCAAACCTACAGCAGATTCTTCCTCACTAATTTCAGGAGCATTGGCATCAAAAGGTACATTTCCACTAGCATCAGTAAATATACTTTCATTAGCATCAGGAGGAACAAACAGAGAATCAGGTTCAAGTTCAAACTCAGGCTGAACCCCAACATTGACATGGATTATTTTTTATACCTGGCAACTATATTGGACTGTCTGGTCAGAAAATACCCCAGAAGTCACACAAAGGAGGTCTAAAGATGCAACCAAGTTTGAAGCAAAAACATATAAAAATTATCAAGAGTATTTTTGAACAAAATGTAGATATAGATATTTATCAATTTTTGCAGTGTTGGCATTTGACTTTGAGCAGGATATTTAATCATGGAACATAAGGTAAGGTCTGTTGGAGGAATCTTAACAACTAACCTTATCTAGCACTCTCTTTTCATAACGGCAAATGGAAATCCCTATTTTTCTATGAAGTAGGAGAATTGTTTTCTCTGTCCGTCTGGTAGGTAATTCTTCACTAACTTGTTTTCTTACAGAAAATAATGAGATTTTTTAGCAACTTCTTCCTATTGCGATAAAGTGTTTGACACCCTTGCAGTTTTCAAAAGGTTATTTGTAAAATTTGTATCATTTTTCTGAAAAAAAAAACATGTTTGGGGGGAATTTTGTCTTGAAAAGTAACCTGGCAATATCTAATTAAAAACTGGCAATGCTGACTGCAATGGTTGCTATCCAGTGATGCACAAATTCACTTTTTTGGAAAAATAACTTTCTTTCATTTGTATTCAGACAGAGGTACCAGACAAGCTGGATCTCTATATAACAAGGATCTTGGCATATAGGTTTCTTAAAGTGGGGTGGAGTGGGAATTCACTGTACACTACACATATCTGAGCCTTTCTACATACATACTTCTGTCAAAATCCAGTTTGAGGTTCTTTCACTTGCCTCTTAATTCAAAAGTATAGAACATGTTGCTAGAATATTCTGTGGGGCCAGCTGATGAAACAAAATAGCATGAAGTTGGAACGTAGGAATCGGCCACGTTGGATAATGGCCAAAATTTACTAGTCACATTTTACTGAAAAGTATCTTGATCCATGCACGGAATGCCAAAACACAGCTGGTCTAAGTAAACTGAAGAAAGTAGTCAATTTGCTTGAGTTATGCTATTTTCACAGCTGCGTGGCCTCCACAAACACCCTGCTTGATCATAACAATATAAGTATCACTGGACAGTAAGACACACATGGAAATAAATTTCTGATTAATGCTATTGTGACTTGTAATGACCAGTTCATAAGATGGAACCATGTTTCTTAATGTGGCAATGAAGAGTTTTCGAAGATTGCATACCTCTTGTGACTAAAAAAAGCAAACAAGATCTTGCAATGGCTTCTTTCCCCTCAATGTTTTCCTCATCCCCACCCTCAGTATTGGGTGTGCTTTGCTCATCCTAGCTTGGACAGTTTATTGATTCCAGACAGCGGTATACTTTTAAACCACCATCTGGTTGAAGGATTTGGCAGGGCTGTAAATTATTGTTTTCAAAACTCACTTTCCCAAACTCAAGGATCAGTGTATCTATGTATTTATTTGTTGTCATACAGGATCACCTAAGGCATCTCACTGATTTTGTTTGTTGCTTTCTGCCACTCCCTACAGCAATTCCTTCTTTCATTGTTTCTGCATCATTACCCTTTGATTTCCAAAGGCTGTAGGAAAATATTATTATCACCTCACATCATATGTTAGGCAAGTTAAGTTCATCAAGCTGTTCCTTATTTTCTCTTTTACAACTTTTGGGTCAGATTTCACTCCTGGATGTTTTTCTGTTTAATATACAGCCATCCCTTCACATCTGAATCTTTGACTTTTGTGGATTTTTTCCCTCTAGCAATTGTTAGGTCTTCTAATGTTATCCCTAGGGCAATTTCCTTCAGTTGTGCTCGAGGGCCTAGAGCAGTGGTTCTCAACCCATGGGTCCTCAGGTGTTTTGGTCTACAACTCCTAGAAATCCCAGCCAGTTTAGCAGCTGTTAGGATTTCTGGGAGTTGAAGGCCAAAACATCTGGGGACTCATAAGTTGAGAACCACTTGCCTAGAGATTCCAAGAAGAAACACCTCTCCAGGAATTTCTAATTCTCCAATGTGTTTCTATAGTCAGTATCCAGTGAACATTAACCATAATGTCATGGTGGAAGTTATAAATTCTTAAAAACATACTCTTTAGCACTTTCTTTATTTAGCACTTTATTCAGTTTTTCACCTTCACTGGAGTCCTAGACCCCTAGCCTCAGCAAAATGTGGAAGACTTACGGTCTAGAAAAGTTGTAGCTCATCACTCTCATGTTAGTGGGGCAATAAATCTACAGACCTAGTGGTATGAGCTTTAAAGATGCCATCAAAAGTACTGAATCTTAGCCCTCAAATTAGGTTCAGAACCTTAGCCAACTTCCATAAAATTTGGTCTCAACTCCAGAGTAGATTTAGCTTCCTGTTGACATGGACATCAGAAACTCACTGTGCATAGTTACATGCCCATTTTTTGTTTCTGTATATTTTAATGAGAAGGGGGGAGAGAGCCCTCGAAGATATAGTACTTCAAAATTAATGCATCACACGTGTATTTTTTATGAATTAGTAACAAAGTAGAAAACATAATATGATAAGCCATGTTGGTGTTTAATGTTTAGTGTGCTTATAAAATGAAAAATGCATACATACCTTCACAGACAACGTGTTTGCTACTATTCCATCTACAATACCTTCACTAAATGGATCAAAATGCTTGTCTGGTCTTCTCATGAATTCTGGTTTTAGTCTATATCCACTTTTGCCATTATATTCATACATCCCCATATTTATTTGCATAGACAAATCTAAGTGACAAAAAAAAAAAGGTCTTGTGAGAGATGGAACAGAAAACATTCAGAACTCAAAAATCCACTAGAGGTCTCCCGTCTTCTTTATATGCTCCAAGTTAACATATTCTCTCTAGAAAAGCAAAAGGATGATACTTTCCCTACATATAGCAATCTTATTTTAAGTCTTTTATTATTATAATATTTATTAAATTTGAAAAATACAGTTACAAAAAAGGAAAGGGGGGGGGGACCAGACCAAGGTATACCAAAGGTGTAACATTAAAAGAAATATATTACTGTGATATAGTGACTAAAATGAAGACACAAAAAAGAAAAGAGAAAAAAGTTTTAAACACAAGAAAAAAACACCATCTCTTCACATACCTATTCCTTCTCCCACTCCCTTGCACATTATTTCTATCTCTTTCCTTAGCTAGTACGCCTGGTGATAGTCAACTGTCATTGTACAAATGGAAGTATTCAAAGTGTCTCATTATTTTGGGAATAACTGTGACTGTGACATGTATATGCTTTTTCACCCATTATACTACCCATGCAGGTGCATGCTTGCCAACAACCAAAACTGTCTGTCTAGACAAGAATGGTAAAATGGACTCTTCACCATTGTTCATCTATCTAGACTAGATAACTGAAAATTAAAAGTACAGAAAACATATCGATATGTATCCTCTCACTCATTCATAATACATATTGATCGCTTCTTGGCCTTTTGGCTAAGATCAAGTGTAGTTTGTAGTATCCTCTCACTCTGCTTGGCTGGAAAAGATATTACAGAATGCGAACTAGATAATTCTATTATCAAGGTGATTTTTAAAAATGAAAGTAATGATCTCAGGCATTTTATAAGCATCAGCTACTTCTCTTTAAGGCACCACCACATCTATATTTTCAAGTATATGAATTATTTATGGTATGTGATGGCTGTTTCACAATAGAAGTGAAACAGTAGTTGTGGAATACTTATTTGGTTGTTTGAGATGTAGCTGCAGCACATCACATACATAACTGCTTACGACATGGCCCAAAGTTTTCAAAATGCACTGCCCTTTTCACCATTCGTTATGTGTTTTCATGTATTTCACATAGTTTGTATTTCTCTGGAAATTAGGGTTCATAGCTACACTGAGAATTGAATGTAACAGAATCCTGATGCAGGTTTCACATGTTTGAGATTTTCACATAAGCAGAATTAAATAAACACTCACACTCTCAAATTAATTTCCTGATGCATATTCATAATACTGATTATATTTTCCTAATGAAATATTTTTGCAATTATTCAGAGTCTTTCCTTGATGTATTATCACCCCAGAGCTGGGTGACAGCTTATGCTTCTTAAAAGAGTACTACCAATTAAACAAATTTGCTAAACAATGGGGAAGTTTTTGGCATGGTTGGGAAACATATGGCTCTCCAGATGTTGTTGAACTGCAAATCCCATTCACTCTAGCCAGCATAGTCAATGGCGCCAGGTGGTATTTGCAGTCTAGAAGAAAACGGAAAGTCAGGCATTCTCCATCCTTGATCAACAATGAAAAAAGTGCCCTAACTTAAAAGTTTTCAGCACACAGTTTCAACACACAGTTAAAATAAATAACAGTAGGCAGTTCCTCAGGAAGCACAGTATTTTGCACACCCTTTTATGTAGCCTATTTCAGATAACTATTTCACCTAGCTATTGACTTTAGGAGAAGTGTGCAGGCAGAGCTTTGGTTTTCCAACTTTTCATGACCTCAGTTCTGTTATCATCATCATCATCATCATCATCACCACCACCACCACCACCACCACCACATTTTTCAGAAGAGAGAGAGAAAAAAAAACAAAAAAACAAAGGATCTGGTAAATGCTTACCTACAGTTTGGAAGTTCAGAGCAACCATTTGACAGCCTGCATTCCAGAAGAGCTGAGGCATGTAATTTGAGGAATCAACACGTGTCCCTTTTGGATAAATCCGGCTCAGCTGCATTTTATTATACCTAAATTGTGAGTTAAGATAAAATACAACTGGAAAAGATACCTAACATTCAGACTAAAAGTAGGACGTTTGTCAGATTACTGCATGGAGAAAGGCGGGGGGACAGATCTTTCTTAATAGGCGAAGCAGGAAAGGATCAAATATGATCCCCAATGGATGGAAACACAGAGAGACTCATTTATTAATACAGAAAAGTTGTGTTGTACCCTACCTCAAGCTGTGAGGAGAGTTGGATAACATAATAATAATAATAATAATAATAATAATAATAATAATAATAAGGCGGCTCTGGCATAAACGAGTCTGCTCTGGCATAAACCAATCCAGGTGGTCCCAGTGGTCATCAGCACACTGGGTACCAAAAGATCTCAGCCAGCATTTGGAAACAATAAACATTGACAAAATCACGATCTGTTAGCTGCAAATGGCCACCTTACTTGGTTCTGCGCGCATCATTCAAAAATACATCACACAGTCCTAGACGCTTGGGAAGTGTTCGACTTGTGATTTTGTGATACGAAATCTGGCATATAGATCTCATTTGCTGTGACATTCTGTGTCAGTATAATAATCATCATCATCATCATCACCACCACCACCACCACCACCATCATCAGAGATGAATCGTAGGCACTTGGCCTAATGTGTATGTGTGCTATGTTGTTATGTACATGTAAATAATAATATCTTCTCTAGGCATTTTTTAGATCCTCCAAAGCAACTGTATGACATTATTGGGCCAGAAGTTGTTCATTTCAATAGAATCCACTACTATCAACAGTTTTGTGTATCCACACAATGTCTGGGAGCATATTTTCCACAGATATATGGGTTATACTGTAAATGGCAATATAAATCCCATTGATTTCTGTGGTGTACTTATATTTCAGCATTTACTTTTTAAGAAGGAAAGGGAATGTAAATAATTATTCATGTATTTATTGAGAAATAAACACATTTTTTCCTACAGAGTAGTATTTAAACCGATGCTATGTACCCAGTTATCTTAGTAACCCCCCCCCCCCAAAAAAAACCCCAACTCTTAAGAACCTGCTCTCCTTATTTGTGACCCAAGACTTGTAAGATATTTTTCTCAATTGCAAAGATACTCCACAAACTCGACAGGAGATTTTGTGAGCTGCTCAAGTGCTTTGGTTTCCACAAAGGAAGACATTTCAAAACTCTTGTTCCGTTCTGTGAATAAAAGGAAAACAAACAGGTCAAAGGTAAACTGATTTAGACTTGGAAGGTTATATTTTGCATTAATATACACACATTAACACACACACGCAAATACATAGTTTTGTTCCATTATGGCTCTTTGGTTCCACTTTGCCTGCCTTTTAGTTTAACTTGACAACTCCTAGCATTAATTTCAAATAGGGTGAACCATTAAATAGATCAGTATTACGCCAAGTCTACTCCAGTGGAAGTAGTGTTAAAAGCCCCTGCCAGACTTTATTTCCTATATTGGAAATAATGAAGACAAGGAGCACAGATATCACTGAGTTTGCTCTCTCTCTCTCTCTCTCTCTATATATATATATATATAGAATCTACCATAGTTCTTGATAAACTATTTAACCTCGAGGTTCTTCAGAGGTTCTTGATTGTGAACTTTTTAATCCCGGGGTGAGGGGGGGGGATCAATACTTCAATTTTTTTAATACCTATTTATCAATCAGATATATTTCATGTAAAAACATGCAAACCCACCAACTACAATGCTTTGCCACAAGATGGCAGAATATTTAAAACTGATAAATTCTCATCAATACTTCAATTTCTTTAATACCTAAATCATGATCAAATACATTTCTGTCTGTAACAAACAGAGAATTATTGCCAGTGAATTAATACTGCAAATTGTGTTGGACAACATTTGCAGTAGTAGTTCCATTACAATCAACCATTCAACTTATTTCCTGACTTTTTCCTAAGAATCGGACTCAAGGTGGCTCACAAAATAAAAAAGAGATAAAAGTAACAATTAAAACATATAAAAAGTTAAGTTTAAAACAGGACAGTACTCATATCCACAGTTTCATTTGTCCATGTCTGAGAAATTATGACCCCTCTAGGTATTTTCTAGGTCATCCAAAATGATTCTATGGTAGTCTTGGTCCGGATCCTCCATTTCAAAATGGTTTGCTATTATTCACAGTTTAATGCATCCACATGAAGTCAGGGAACATATCCCCCATAAATATAAGGATGTACTGTATTAAACCATCTAGCAAAGTAATCTATCTATCTATCTATCTATCTATCTATCTATCTATCTATCTAGTAATCAATCTATGTGTTAAACTGCATCTGTCTGCCTGCCTGTTTGTACCACAAAGGCTGTTGCTATATAAATTGGCCCTCTATGATACCACTGGATTAACTGTTGCTAGGTGAAGTGGCCCTCTGACATCACTGAGAAAGGAAGGTAGCATGTAAAGGGAAGGGAGGAAAGTGATATAAAGACAGCCATGTAGCCATGGAGACACTGTGAGGCAGACCCTCTCAGAGCTGGAGGGGGGAGAAAGCAGAGGGGAATGGAGGGATGGAAAAAAGAAAGAAAGGAAAGTAGAAGGGAGGGAGAATTTAAAAAAGGAAAATAAAGGAAAGGAAAAGGGGGAATGAATGAGGAAGGGGAAAGAGAAGGAGGAGAAAGCAGAGGCGCAGCAGTCCCTTTGACATCGAGGCAGCATCGGGTATACTACATAAAATATTAATTGTAAAATCATATATTAAAAACAAAATCAAAGCAGCTTCAGCAAATAGAAAAGGTCTTCACTAGCACTTTTGCTGGGGTTCCAAATATGTCAAGGATGAAATTCATCCAGTTGCAATGGCACCAGTATCTAACTCATCATTAATAGCTCCCATCTTATCTTGGATACATTGCAATGCAAAGTGCTCACCCTCAGAATGGTGTTAATGTATGTTTTTCATCTTGTGTAAATATATTTCTCTGATGGTATCTAGTGCCCGTTCTAAGTTTTGGGAAGCTCTTAGATAAGATGCTCTCAGTCATTAGTGGCTGATGATTCACTTGTGAGCAGGGCTGTGAATCTGCTAAAGGTATCACTCTAAACTCAAATTTGGTTTCAGCCTGGGTTTTAAATTTATTTGGGGATTGGATTCAGCAACTTGGGCAGGTTCTCTAAAGTTCAGACTAAATCCCAGACTGGATTCAGTATGTTGCTGAGATGCTTGTCACCGGACTCTTGTGCACTCTTTGCTTCACTCTGAATGAGTCAACCTCCTATAAGCTCTCACTGAACCTAAAGAGGCATTGTCACTTCCCAGAGGTAGACAAAATGAACATGCTACTGTTGTTCTTTATAGCTCCTGGCACTGCTCATAAGTCAAAGGCAAAAAAAATACAATGAGCATGATGTTTTTAGAGGAGTAACAGTTCAAGGGATTGGCAATGGGCCCAAAGATGTGAGATGATCCCAACTACCGATTCCTCTTGATTTAAACTCTCTATTCCATGAGGAACAGTCACAATCAGCGGTGGATCAAGGTTGCTTTGCCAATAAGAGTGAGAAATCCACCCTGTACCTGAACTTGAAAGGAGCTATCCCTCAAATATATTCAGCACCTTGGACAGGGCATTTAATGTTCAGTTTAAAATCCAGAGCTGATTCATCATTCCAAGAACTTGGAAGTCATCAGCCACAGTGGGATCAGTTGGTAGCTGAAGCCAATACTTTTCTCATGATACATTAAGAGATCAAATCAATGTGTGTAGTATTTGGTTAAGGAACTTTCTTTATCAAGCTAGAGGCTAAATAAACAGAATGGCAGACAGAGAAAATGAAGTTTATGGACAGAATGAAAAGTAGATTTTAATGGAAGGAAGGAAGGCCATGAAACACTATTAACCGAGGCTTTGTCTGATACAAAAAAACTACCAGCAAGTAGAAAAATATACAAGTAGAGAGAAAGATGGTTGCTCCCTCTTTGGAACTATAATTAGTAGCAGCCACTTGACTCTAGAACTAAGAAGACCACATCTGAAGACAATAAAACCTTAAGAAACACGTGTTATGTTATAAAATAAATTCAAAGCTTGTTTTTAACCACCTTTATGTGTTGTGTTGAAGGAAAGGTAAACCTCATTACTCAGAGGATATTTGCAACTTTCCTTGTGAATTACAAGAATAGTTGTCCTTGGAGATAGGTACCGTATATTCCGGCATATAAGACGACTGGGCGTATAAGACGACCCCCAACTTTTCCAGTTAAAATATAGAGTTAAGATGACTCCCATGCATAAGACTACACCCGCATATAAGACGACCCCTGACTTTTGAGAAGATTTTCTTGGGTTAAAAAGTAGTCTTATACGCCAGAATATACTGTATTCTTTTTTCAATTTGTTCTTATTAGCTTTTTCTGATGATGACATTCTTGGTTCTGAGTATAATGTAGTTAGCTTTATTTTTGGCAGTCTAGGGCATACTTGATTTTACTGTCAGGAATCTTGAGTAGTAAGCAGCAATGGAATAATAATGATGTTGGTAGTTTTCCAGAGCAAGAGACAATGCCAGGATTTAAATAATATGTTAAAATATAAATGAAATTTATACCATAAGAATGGAAGAACAGACATGCTTGGAAAGATGAAATGTGTAGTTCAAGGCAGAAGGTATACACAGCTGTATAAAATCCACATTGAACTGGATTAAACAGCAGTGAGGACTCAGATAAACCAGTTCAAAGCAGATATTGTGGATTATCTGCCTTGATATTCTGGGTTATATGGCTTTGTGGGAGGGCCCTCAGACGATAAGAGGTAAAGGTTTCCCCTGACATTAAATCTAATTGGGTTCAACTCTGGGATGTGGTGCTCATCTCCATTTCTAAGCCGAAGAGCCAGTGTTGTACCTAGACACCCACTCAGACAATAGATTTACTTTATTTATTTTCTTCTTTTTCCTTTCTTCTCAGCCTGATAAAGGACCAAATAGGGGAGAAGGAGAGTCAAATAGCTCACTGGAGGAAAAGCAATATATGCAAGATAGAAATAAATACAGGCTGAGTATTCCTTATCCAAAATGCTTGGGACCAGAAGTATTTTGAATTTGTTCAGATTTTGGAATAATGAGACAAAATCCATTTGTGCTTCATATACATCTTATGTAAAAATATAACCTTTTCGATTTTACTGCACAGTGACTTTATGAGACTGTACCTCAATCTCCTTATGCTGGTCTATGGCCATAATAAATATTTTTGATTTGATTTGATCTTATGCACATTGCCTGAAGACAATATTTGTAATAATTTTGTGCATAAAACAATGGTTGTGTACACTGATCCATCAGAAAGCAAAGGTGTCACTATCTCACTCTCCCATGTAGACAGCTGAGGATTTTGGAGTATTTCAGATATCTGAATTCTAGATAAGAAATGCTCAACCTGCATGCATTTTCCTTCCTGAAGGAGAATATGCCACGGATCCAATACTTCAAAAATCTTGCTGCCCCTTTCAGATGCAAATTCTTGCCTTTATTTATTGCGACTCACATTGCCTTCATCACATTGCCACTCAAATTCGACTTGTATAACAGTTTTGATATATATTAGGCAACAGGAGACAAGCTAGGCTGTTAAACACCAGTGGGAAGCTGCCTACAGAAGTAGAATTTGACAGCAGTATTTCACATCTAAAACCAGGGGTTTACTTGATGTGAATAAACAGAATCAGAATAAGAAATGGAATAAAACAAGTAATGCCAGGAGCTAAAAAGATTCTAAAGACATTTAACTTCAAAACACATAATACAATATTTAATTAATATTTACTTCCATGTTGATTTATTTAACATTAAATCTTAAATTGCAATCCTGCTCTCTTTATTTTGTTAAGAAAGTAACATACTGGTTTGAATGATGATGAGACAGAGCTCTCTGACCAATTTTGGTGTGCATCAAAGGGAAAGTATTTTAATTCCATCGTGGAATACATATCTTGATCATATTATGAAAAAAGAAAGCTGCATGTCTGAGCGAGGGCACTTCAACTGTCCAGCCAAATGAGCAAACTGCATTAGAACCATGGACACTTTAATAACACTCAATACACACACACACACACACACACACACACACACACACACAAATAAATAAATAAATAAATAAATAAATAAATAAATAAATAAATGTAATGTTCATTTGTGGGATTAACAGAACTCAAAAACCACTGGGCGAATTGACACCAAATTTGGACACAAGACACCTAACAACCCAATGTATGTCCTTCACTCAAAAAATTGATTTTGTCATTTGGGAGTTGTAGTTGCTGGGATTTATAGTTCACCTACAATCAAAGAGCATTCTGAACCCCACCAACGATGGAATTGAACCAAACTTGGCACACAGTTCTTCCATGGCCAACAGAAAATACTGGAAGGGTTTGGTGGGCAGTTTCCTTTGGTTTTGGAGTTGTAGTTCACCTACATCCAGAGCTCAATGTGAACTCAGACAATGATGGATCTGGACCAAACTCTACACGAATACTCAATATGCCCAAATGTGAACACTGGTGGAGTTTGGGGAAAATAGAATCTTGACATTTGGGAGTTGTAGTTGCTGGGATTTATAGTTCACCTACTATCACAGAGCATTCTGAACCCCACCAATGATAGAATTGGGACAAACCTCCCACAGAGAACCCCCATGTGGGCCACAGCAACGCGTGGCAGGGGATGGCTAGTATATATATGTGTGTGTGTGTGTTTGTGTGAGTGTGTGTGTGTAATAACAAAGGCAACAGTTTCTAAAATAGTGGTTCCCAACCTATTTTTGAGCCGGAACCACTTGAACAGGGGTCACTCTCCAACATTAGTGCCAAAAGGGTTACGAATCAGTTATCGGTCAACTTTAGATTCGGTTTGGTTATTTGGGGTGCTGATTCAAAGTATTGAACATATGTCATCCAATAGTTGCCATCAGCTCACCCACAGAAAACCGTATTTAATAATTGAGAGCTGATGTGGTAGTAGTAATCTTTTGTGGGTAGTCAGCCTCTCTCTCTCTCCCCCCCCCCCCCCCCCGACATCTCCATTGCCTAGTCACTACAAGATGGTTTTGTGAGAACTCTCCCTTTAGTTGTTGCATGGTTTCAAGGCAATGGTGTAGTAATGGTGGTGACATGAACCATATTTTTTCATTTTTGTGGACCACTGTGGACCATGAACCACAGGTTAGGAACCACTGTTCTAAAATGCAGACATTTCCAGAAATTTCCCCAACCTGCCACACTGTCATGGAATGCACACAGCTAATGGACAGTTTGTACTGAACTTCCTGAACAAATGCAGAAAAATCTCCTATTCAGACACAGACCTATGTACTCTTTCCTGTCATGTGAATAAAGGTCTTGAATGGGCAGGGCTTCTTTAATCATTTTTACCAGGACCAGGTGAAAAACATACTTTGACACAAACAGAAAAGCTAAGCATAGATTTGGAATATATAGTATTTGAAATTTATAACCTCCTGGAACTGCAGTGCCTTTCAAACACACTTAAGACTTTGTTTTGGTCTAATTGAAATGGTAGAGGCCTTTATTTAAAATGCAGAAGCTGAAGCCACCACATTCCTCCTGTCAAAACCAAGTGAAACAAGACAGGCCCCATCAAAGGGGGCTCTGCTCTAAATACAGAAAATATGTCAGTTTGTTTGCTCATGATGTCACAAAGTGTATTCCCAGCAAGGTTCCTGAAGTTGGGGGGAAGAAAGAAAAGAAATCCACAGTAGGCAGTCATGATGATGGGCCATTAATTTCTAATAAACCAGTCTATGACAGGTGAAAATCAAATGGAATGTACATCAGAGACCATTTTTCATCTGGTTGCGATGCATGTAAAAGTGAAGGCATTTGCAAAACTAAACAATAACCTGATTCTAGTATCCTTTACTGTTGTTTTGTGCCTTTAAATTATTTCTGACTTATGGCAACCCTAAGATGACCCTACATTTAAAAAATAACCCGAGTCAAAATCCCAACATAGTTATACCTGCTTCTATTTTTCATTAGTTTTAGGAGGGCAGTGAGGAAAGTTTGGTCTGTGGATTGTACATATGGGACTGTTTTGCAGTTCTCAAACCACCCTTGGAGTCCCTTTAGGCCCCAAGGTCTTAAGAGAAACATTTCCTGCTGATATAAGTGGAACTTGGAAATGCTTAACTTTGATGGATTGTGCCATTAACCTTTCAGATCACCAGTACTTTGAACCCAAGAATACACTGTATATACCATTCTTGGCTCCCATATCAGTGCTGCTGATTTTAAGGTCAGCCTAGTTCCCTATAGGAGCATCAATACTCAATTGTTTTTTTTCTTGAGCTCAAGGACATCCTAATCTTTCTTGTTGCCTGAGAGATGGTGAGATGCTTCTTTCCCTTTCTGGCTGAAGTTCTCACATTTGTGAGATGACTTGATGGGCAAATTGTGAAGCTGTGCAAAACTATATGAGATACAAAAAACAAATGCTTAGAAAAATGAAGTATCAGATGGGCTGCTTACATTTTTTCCATACATCAACAGGCCTTCTGTGCTTATAGTGTGGGCTTTGGTTTATAAAGAGGAAAGAAAGTAACGTAATGCAGAGCAGTCACTGAGCCAATTATGACAAACTTAACTTTAAGAAAAAGACACCACATTCTATTCATATTGTTCTTCTTCTGGACAACCTTCCTGGAGGTTGGTGCTTTGCGGCTATGATTTCAGCACAGAACAACAAATTTCATTAATATTCTTTTACACCCATATTGTGAGAGGTGAGATTTGCTCCTCTCCAAAAGCAGATCTCCTTGTATCATCATCATATAAAGTAAACATCTCACATATTAACACTCTCTGGACCACTGTTGAAAGAATCATTCTCACCGAGATCAAATAAAAATCTCACTTTCCCTTCCAAATTGATCTGGCATTTGCCTAGAAATGCAATTATAGGTTCCTAGCCATTGTGCAAACAGCACCCCCCTATCTAGTTATCCTGCACAGCCTACCTCATTTGGTTTCAGTAATAATCTGTAGAGCTCTACGGATGATCTGGCTCAATCTTTGCACTATAACACTTCTGCGCTAGCATGTAATGAGTTTTAGTATGTAGCTACTGAGCTGTAGCAAGTGGACACTCAATCTACTGAACCTATTCCTGATTATTGTTTTCTGTAAACACACAGAGACCCCACCTTCATACATACCCAGAATAATATTTATATGCAAATGACACTAGGTTTACCTAATATTAATTCAAAGTACAAAGGGATGGAAATTCCTGACAAAAGCATCTATTACACACACCATTCTCTTGGAAACTCACACTGCCACAAGGTTTTTGGTGTATTTTAGAAACATAAATTAATCACTACACTATTCATATGATTTAAAAGTGTAAAACTGAAAAATAAACGCAACCAGGCTTATAAAATATATGTAAACTACAAGCAGAGAAGAATAAAACTAAGCTCTCAGCCAGAAACAAAGGTAACATGGGATAGAGAAGGAAGAGGAGAAGGAAAGATGGGAAGGAAGGAGGGAAAGAAGGAGAGAAAGAGGGAAGGTTGGCCACAGCAACGCATGGCGGGTACAGCTAGTATGTATGTGTGTGTGTGTGTGTATATATATATATATATATAATATATATGCGCCCTCCCCTGCCCTGCATTGCTGTGGCCCTGTCTGTGTATATGTGTTTTGTGTGTGTATATGTGTGTGTATATATTTGTGTATATGTGTATATATGTGTGTTTGTGTTTATAGGTGTGGTTTTGCACATGCGTTGTAATGTATTTTTCATTTTTTGGCTTTTTAAGTCTCTTCTGTTGTGTTTTTCCGTGTTTTTATGAGTAATGTCACTTGTTGGTTTGATAGATGTCTTGTGTCCAAATTTGGTGTCAATTTGTCCAGTGGTTTTGGGGTTATGTTAATTCCACAAATGAATATTACATCTATCTATCTATCTATCTATCTATCTATCTAGCTAGCTAGCTAGCTAGCTAGCTAGCTAGCTAGCTAGCTGACAAACTGATAGTTTTAAGGCCTTTGAAGGTAGAGGCAGACTATTTTTCTGTCATCCCAAAGAATTCATATATCAGAAGCAGAACTGGCTCTGCTAAAACCTGGCTTAGGTTTTGCGGAGCTCAACACAACACTGCTGTCAGCTAGTTGTCACTTGTGTTCTTCTTTTGCAGACATTTTAAAGTAATTGAACTCTTAAGAAGATTTCACAAAACTCTGTTGGCTGTCTCCTTCTCCAGAGAAGCTTAAAACTGCATTGTCCAGGGAAGAGGACACAGCTGCATGTACTGCCTAAGTAATATTAATCTTCCTTGACACCCTCATGTAACTTAAAATATCCATATACTCAAAGAAAGTGACCCTACCTCACACCTCACTTAGTGCCAAATTCTTTAACAAGAGGTTTTGAGTGATTGATTTCTTAAGGCAACACATAAAATATACACAAAATGATAAGGTTTGGGGGGAAGAAGGAGACAGAAATGATGTCACCAGTACTTCTTACTTACTTTGAGAAGTCTCAAATGACTCAAACTTCACAGGCTGTATGTAATTCACCAAGTTGGACATTTCCTCAGTAGCCATAGCTTCACTTCCGGCTGTCCCCTGGAACAAAAGTAGACTAGTATCAATAGCAGTTTTGCCAACAGAGAGCACGGCCGATTTTGTGTCCCCATGCGCACTTTTTCCTAAGGACATCTAAAAATGGATACAAGAATCGCCATGCAACTTTGGAACGGGAAGGGTACGTGGCGGAATTGTACACGACTTGGAGACCCTCTGCAGGAGATGATGTCATTTTTTGGGGGTGGGAGAGAATGGGTTGGATGCCGCTGCAGCCGTCCCCCGTTATCCATCCAAATATCTACAATAATTAGCTGTGAATATAGGAATGTTTTCAAGCACTTTCTAGATTTTCAAACAGTGCAATGCATTTTTTTCCACTCAAAATTAAGGGGCATTTTACCTTCCTCGGGGTGGAACACATTCTTTTTCTCCATCCCTATTTCATATTTTGTGAAAACCATATTTAAATATTTTCATACCACATATTTTTAAAAGCTATAATAATGTGGAAATATGTGTAAATTAGATACTTATTTATCCTGAGTTTCATATGTACTTCATTTCCCCAAGCAATTTACAGTAATTAGAATTTAGTACACCGTACTGTGGTTTGGGCTGCAAATGAATCAAAACAAGATTCAGATCCTTAGGCTAACCAAATGAAAGTAGAAGGAAGGTGTAGGGGAAAGATAGAGATTGGTATGATAATGCGAGGAGAATGAGTGGTTAATGGGACCTGCGTTATCTTCTGATGCTGGTGTGCCTGAACAAGGTACAAAAATTACACAGTCTGTAGTCCTCTGGTTAATAACAGAAGTAAGAACGGCTCTTAGAGTCACAAAGCACTGAAAGTTTAAATTAAGAGCACATTGTTTATTATTATTATTATTATTATTATTATTATTATTATTATTATTATTATTATTCCCAGGGAGAGAAAAAGGCAGCTTCCTCCAGTTTCTTATTCTCTGGATCTGGGATGGAAAACTGAGGCCCCTTCTATACTGTCATATAATACAGATTATTGAAGCAGATAGTCCAGATTATCTGCTTTGAACTAGATTCTACAGCAGGGTAGACTCATATAACCCAGTTTAAAGCAGATAATGTGGATCATCTGCTTTGATAATCTGGATTATATGGCAGTGTAGGAACTGCCCTTCAAGGACAGATCCTCACCTTTTCAATCCTACATAGACTAGATGATATCAGAAGATACAGCAATAACTACAATACTGAAACCAGGCATGATAAAGCCTGGCTGCCTTACTGTCAGGAGTTTCTAGCTGGTGTTACAACCGAGGACTTGGTTTTGCTCTATGCTTATCTTTCTTGCATGCAAAGGGATCTTGTAGTACCTTAGAGACTAAAAGAGAGAATGAAGCTAGTAGCATAAGCTTTCAGAGCCTCCTTCCCGCAGGGACAAGAAGGAAGCAAAGCATTCTGCAAATCCAAGTAGCTATAATTCCACTGGAATCGATCTGGGAAACTTCATCCATCTCTCACCAGGGAAGATGTTCAGTGAATAGACTGCTGTGCTGCTTGACTTGCCAACCAGAAAGATGAAAGCCATGAGGTGAGATAATAAAGGGATTACTCCCGTTTTCTGTCCTTTTGGGAGGAGAAATGGTGTGATGGGGTGCAGTGATTCCCAGAGGAGGTTGTCATTTTAAGTACACTGCAAATTTTCACAGTTTTTAATGATGTGAATTGATTAGATTGAACATTCTAAAGAATACTTTTTAGCAAGATTATATGTACTTGCCACGTGTTGCTGTGGCCAACCTTCCCTCCCTCTTTCTCTCCTTCCTTCCCCCTTTCCTTCCTTCCCTTTTTTCTTTCCTTCTCTTCCCTCCCTCCCTTCCTCCCTCCCTTCCCTACCTCTTTCCTTCCTTTTCCTTCCTTTTTCTCCCTTTTCCTTCCTTCCTTCCTTCCTTCCTTCCTTCCTTCCTTCCTTCCTTCCTTCCCTCCCTCCCTCCCTCCCTCCCTCCTTCCTTCCTTCTCTCCTTCCTTCCTTCCCTACCTCTTTCCTTCCGTTCCCTCCCCCCCCTTTCTTCCTTCTCTACCTATTCTTGGACTGTAACTCCCAGCAGTCCTCCTGATTGATCTATTGACCTACTATCTATCTGTATCTAATCTATATATCTTATCTATCTGGAGGAATGCTGGAAGTTGCAGTCTAGGAATAGGAAATTGGAAATATGCAGGGATTGGGATGCTGTCAAAGAAATCCAAGGAGAAGCAAGCTTGCAGCTTGGAAGCAGTGCATTTAGAGCATCCTCCTCTCCTAAAGGGCCTGGTCTAGGGAATGCTGGAAGCTGTCATTTTCGTACATGTGTTGTATCATCATTTAGCTTTTTTGTGTGTTTTAAGTCCTTTCCATTATGTTTTGGGAGGGTTTTATGAGTGATGGTCACTCCTTGACCTGATAGGGGTGTAGTGTCCAAATTTCATGTCAATTCATCCAGTGGTTTTTGAGTTATGTTAATCCCACAAACGAACATTATATATAATTTACAAGGCATTTTGTTATAGGATGCATGTGAAAGTGCTGATCCTTTGAAAATATGGGCAATGCACTGCCAGAAACACGCACCTCGTTTTTTACTGAGGTGGTGGTGGTCGGGGGGGGGGGGATTGGCTCCAAATCAAAAACAAGGGATCCAATGGCTACAAACAATAACTGAGAGAGAAAAAGACATAGTAAAATTGTTTTGAGTAAATACTCCAAACATCTGCAGGCCACTATTTTGAATCAAGTGCAATAATCCCTGTGGGCTAGTACAAATGCTTCATTTTTCAGGCAATCTGCTCAGTGGATCCCAGCTACAAATTTCTTCTCATATGGATGTGTTTCCTTTTCCACCTCTCCCTCAAGACTACGGCTACAGCATAATTCTTTCTGCTGAACCCATATGGTTTTAACAGAAGGCTGAAAAAGTACTGCTTATCACATAAAACATGGGCAGGAGATACATCTTTAAGAGTAGATTCCTTAACTCAAAGTGTGGGGCTGCCAGGGCCACTGAAGATGCCATATGTCTCAATTCTAGTCATTACAGTTTGTGGCCATCTCCAGGCAGTCTTGACTGCCCAGTGGTGATGATCTCAAAGTTAGTGGTGGAGTTTGGGAATCCACAAGGTGGCAGCACAATACTGAGTCATACGAACCAAGATGCAAACATGGTTTCACACAGTCAAGCCAGGACAATTTGTACTTCCAAATGATTCATTCCTTACTTCCTCCATTGATGATTTTTTGCAGTCATCGTCATCATCGTCATCATCGTCACTTTCAATCTCTGCTTCCCCTGCAACATTTTAATTCGAAAAACAAAAACAAAAGAGAGTTCAGTATAGCTAACCCTTTCCTCAACATACACACTTTTAAACAGTTATTGTTATGGCTTTGATTCAAAGGCAGTGACAGCACCATACGCTCAGGGTGCTTCTTAGTATAATGAACTATTTCTCAAATTCAACATTCATCACTTTCACACTTTTGAGGACATCATCATAATGATATTTTGCCATAAGTAAGTGATTATTTAAGCCTAAATCCTCAAGGCATAAGATCCCATCTGTTCTTGGAAACTGTGCGGGGTCAACCTTGGAAGAATGACTGATGGCCAGAAAATGCTAGGTGTTGTGGGCTATATTTCAGAGAAAATAATTAGGAAAACCACTTCTTCACTAAGAAAGCACTATGAAATATATGGGGTGTCTGAACACTGGCAGATGACTTCAAGGTGTGTATACACAGAGAGAAGCCACTTAGGCATCGCTTTCAAAGAGGAGACTGAATGTGCATATTTACACATATGGAGGCACTATTGGATCCTTTTTACAAGATAAACAGGATCACAATACCTCTTACTTGCGTGAGGAAGAAAATACCCAAGTGCCCTGCAACTCTGCTAAGTCTACTCCTCGATTTGGATGGGTAACTTTCACATCCCAAATCTCCCCCTAAAGGGTTCTCTTTATCTATGCTCCGACATGGACTGGAAAATCCTTAATTAGAGGATATATTCACAGGGAAGACTGCCCTGTACCGGTCCTTGCCACAGATGATTGTCCTGTGTGAAAAGGTGGTCACTCTACCCACAAATTTGGCATTAATTTAGAAAGTGGTTTACAAAATCTGACATAATGGACACTGAACGTGATTTGTGTCCGGAAATCTTATCACTAGAAGAAATGCTGATTATAGAGTGAAGTACCATCATTCCAAATGCTGTGATCTATTCCAGACCTTTTGGCAGGAGGGGATGAATTCAACCTCTTCTTTGCTAAAAGAATCAGAACTGTGTGACTGTCCTGGCAGGATCTTTCCGTATGTCGACTATGAAATGGCCTTTACAATGGCCTAATAATGATCACAATCCAACAGAAACTTATCTTCTTGAGTGGTGGTATTCACATTATTCTGAAATAAGCCTTGGAGTGAAGAGGCAGTGTAGCAAAATATAGCTAATGAACAGACTTGGAAGGATGCTTATGAAATTTGACCTCATTAATAGTCTGCAGTGCTATAGTTTGAGAAAGATGGATTTTAGATTTTTATTTATTTCCCCCTCGTCTACCTTGTTTTTAACTTCATGTCACAAATATGTGGAATGGGAACATATTATATTATTTACTTATTTTTTGCAGTATCGGGTGAAGTCAGAAATCATTACTGTCATCATGGATGGAGGAGAGGAAGCAACACAAATATCAAATATGAAGAAAAAAAACTTGAAGAAAAAAAGGCACACGAAGCTACTGCCTTAAATTGGGGCAGTACCTAGCCCCGTATTATGATTGGCAGCAGTCTGTGACATTTCTAACAAAGATGAAAATTCCTGAGACTTGTTGGAAGACAAAGCACATCTTGTTTGAAAAAAGCAGCACATTTGTGAAGCAATAAAACAGGCATTAAAGTAACGTAAAATAAAAAGTTTTAATGCCAGAAAGGTCCATTTCCTGCTCCTGGAGCATATTTTAAAAGGGCTTTCTGATAGCTGTTGCCTTCAACTAATTTCTGACTAATAGTGACCCAAAGACAAACCTATCACAGGGTTTTCAGCAGCTGGTGTGCCCTTATCTTCCTTTAAGACAGAGAGAATGTGACTTGCCCAATGTGACTCGAGTTTCCACGGTGGAGTAGAGATTAGAACACTGGTCTCCCTCTTGTCATTTGCTCTCACCTCTGCAGGAGTCTACCGTATACCATGCAGCTGTGGACAAGTCTACATAGGGACACCAAACGCAGCGCCCAGACACGAATCAAGGAACATGAAAGGCACTGCAGACTACTTCAACCAGAGAAGTCAGCCATAGCAGAGCACCTGATGAACCAACCTGGACACAGCATATTATTTGAGAACACAAAAATGCTGGACCACACCAACAACCACCATGTCAGACTACACAGAGAAGCCATTGAAATCCACAAGCATGTGGACAATTTCAACAGAAAGGAAGAGACCATGAAAATGAACAAAATCTGGCTACCAGTATTAAAAAACTCTAAAATTACAACAGCAAAACAACAGAGAGGAAACAACCAGGCACAGATTAACACCTTCCAGCAAGAGATTTTCCCAGGCTCAGGCAGGCCTTCAAATGCTAATGAAGGTGATCAGCTAAACATTCACACCTAACTGCAGCAGGGAAGAGCTCCTTGCCCCACCCCAGCCATTCCACAGATATATAAACCCATTGTCCTAATTCCAACAGACCTCACTACCTCTGAGGATGCTTGCCATAGATGCAGGAGAAATGCCTCTAGAACATGGCTCTATAGCCCGAAAAAACCCACAAGAACAAAGAAACTGTCTTTAGGATTCAGACAAATACAATTAAATCAAGATTTTTCAAATCCCTAGTCCCCGCTTCCCTTTAAAGGTGAATGCTGTAGAGGGTGAACTATATTCTAATGCTGATCTACATGCTCTTCCAAAAAGCAAAGCTGAAGCTGCCACAATACAATCATCTCCAGTTTAAATATAGTTGATTAGTGAAAACAGGTAAAAAATGAAAAGAATTTAATATAAATTCAATTTTGAAAACAAAAAATAATAATATGCAAACAAACAATAAGAGTGCCAGTTCCTAAAGTTGGCTATGCTAATTTCAGCAGCTACTTGTCCTGGTGAGGAATAATGAATCTGTATGTTAGGACTCATCTATTCCAGGCCTTTTAGCCCAGTGTAAATATTTGGTATGTGTGATCAATAAAAAAAAAGTTTCAAAAGTCATTACAAATTTAGGGGGTGTTGGTGTTTCTTTTTGAAAGTGTTTCTAAAGTATAGTTAGTGAAAAATTCATTACTTTAGTAACAAAATTATTGCTATAATTGGGGAAACTTCAGGGGCTCCTTTCTTCATCATTTGTACAGCTATTGGGATGCAACTTGCTACAATGGTAGAACTCATTCACCACTCTTAGTCCATCAAGTTTCAGAATGTTTCACTTATCCAGGGATTTTGGGGAATTTTCAAAGGTTTTATAAACAACATTTTAAAAAATACTACAAAAGCTATATCCTTAAATTGTCTCTACAATGACACAAGATAACAGGGAAGCATTCCACCCAACTTTCAGAAATATTCATACATCTACTGATTTTAGGGAATTCTTTTTTAAGTTTTGACAAAATCATTTTTTTAAAGCCACAACAACTATCTTATTAAATGTCTCTCATATTAACCAATAGAAACCAATATCAACCAATTTTACATTTTCATAGAATCCTAGAGTTGGGAGGGGACTCCCAAGGGCATCTAGTCCAACTCCCTTCCTACATGCAGAAGGACACCATCAAAACTCTCCTGACAGATGACCATCCAGTCTCTAAACTAATTAATATGCTTCCCCTATTGAGCTGGAAGGGACCCCCAAGGACCATCCATTTAGAGAATTATTTCCAGCCCAGCACTGATTTACTTATTAGAAGTATCGGTTAGTCCTCCTCTTTGTAGATTCAGCAATTTTTTGGAACTCTGGCTGGCTGTTGCTACGGAGGGACAAATCTCTCTCCTTGATGCAAGCAGAATTCTGGGAAATGTAGTTTAGAGCACAGCCTTTTGAATTCTCTAGCATGGTGTTCCTTGCCTTCCCAAACTGCATTGCCCAAAGTTCTGTGCTTTCTCAGTCTTTTCCCCAGTGAACACTGTTCCCTGCTTTCTCTCTCCTAATGGTGAGAGGCCATTAATTTAAAGAGGAAAGGCAGACTTTTTTGGCTTTGCTTAGCTTCCTTGCACTGAAAATAACACTGACTTTGGGAGGCTTCCGAGATTTACAAAATCTAAACAAAAAAGTATTGGATTCTTAAGTTTTTGGCACAGGCCATGCTCACGTGTCAGATATCTCCTTGTAAGTACGAATTTAATGAATTCGATATGATTTACAAAGATTAACAAAAAATGCACACTTTTTTGTAAATATGCCCAGGAGTAGCCCTAGATCTGGCACCATCAAAGCCGGGGCTGCTGTTCACATATCACAGGAGTGCATCCACTCCACTGGGACAGCACACACCTCATCCTCCCTATGTCACTGCTTTCACTCCTAGCCAGTTATGGAGCTCTTGGCAAATGCCTGTTCATTGTGGATGCCTCTGCTGACATCATAATGGGGCATCTCTATGATGAGGAAGAAGAGAAAGGATGATGGCACCTGGGTCCACTCTGGACAGCAGATCAGGTCTAATTGAACCAGATCTAGCTATCCAGGCTGTGCCAAAGCTATGGGATAATCTTGAATTTCCAATAAAAGAAACACCCCCAGGATATTCAAAGGATGTAGCTATGTGTCATGAAAACTGACAGACTTCCATTTGGCATGGGTCCAGGTTTGTTTTCCAGTGTAAATAAGCTCTTAGTTAAAATAAATAAGCAACCAAAATAAATGATTGATTTTTTTTACCACCACACTTTCCTCCCATTTTTTCATAATTCCTTCCTTCTTTCCTCCCCCCTTTTTTTCTTTCTTTCTTTGCAAAATTTCTGAAAAACAAAACCCAACCTTGGGTAGAATCCCTTTTACTTTAGAAGTGGATTTCTATGGGCAAGAGGAAACCAAGCTCACAATTTCTTAAAATGTATTCAAGCATAAAGCAAAGGGGACTCATCTTTTGAAGTTCTATCTGCCTTGAAATAATGTAATTATCCTTCTGTGGAACTGTTGTGAGGAAAGTGAAATATTGTCACCACAAAATTCAGATGTGGAAATCGACACTGATTTTGTGGTAGAAACAGTGGGTGCTGGTGTGGATATTAAAGGCTGAATTTCCTGACAACCTTTTGAACAAATACTAGAAAGTGAGAACTCTAAAACAATATTTATGTTATATGACATCCAAAGGAAGGATGCTGCTCCCATGGAAACAGACTGCAGGGGATTAGACACACTGGCATAAGGTAGACAGAAATCACAAGGCAGAGGCATTCAGATAGAAGGGAGTGATATCAAAGTAGTATAAAGGAGGATTTGTTTAATGCTCCTTGCTATTTCCTACATCTGGATGACTGACTACTAGCTTACTAGTGTAGAATCAACCATTGAAAAGAACTTTCCTAGCTCTCCCAAACTGTAATCAAATAATGTTAATCAGACATTTAAAGTTTTAATGTATTGTCGAAGGCTTTCATGACCGGATCACTGGGTTGTTGTAGGTTTTTTCAGGCTATATGGCCATGGTCTAGAGGCATTCTCTCCTGTCGTTTTGCCTGCATCTATGGCAAGCATCCTCAGAGGTAGTGAGGTCTGTTGGAACCTCAACAGACCTCACTACCTCTGGGGATGCTTGCCATAGATGCAGGCGAAACGTCAGGAGAGAATGCCTCTAGACCATGGCCGTATTGCCCGAAAAAACCTACAACAACCCATTTAAAGTTTTGTTAGAGATTTTTTTGCAACTTATATATAATGTACATATTATGAATGACCTTGATTTTACTTATTTCATGTCAGAGGCATTGCATAAATAAAAATGCCGTAAAGCTATGCTTTAAAGCAAAGGTAAACCCATAGGTATGAATGTAACACTACGCTCTACTGGTATGTAATCTATTGTACGAGTAGTGATGCTGCTCTGAAACCTGTGACTTTGGGTCAGTAATGAGGATATAGCTGCGGAATGTATGGTGGCCTTTTGTTGTTCTTGTGTGACTTCAAATTAATCCAAGGTTTTATTCGGGTTTTCCATATGTGGCCTGTGCTGTCATGCAGGGATAGAGACTAAATACAAATATACTTGTTCAGTCTACCTCCATGTGTTTTAGAGGAAGTCTCTTTGTGGAATTCTCCCCATAACTTAGTAGCTTTTCCCTTCATGGATACAAAATATTTCTTGCTTCAGATGCTCACACTCAGTATTTTTTTCTTTTTCCATAGTTATCTTTATGAAAATTATTATGAAATCCCTTGGAGAGATAGGGCAGGTTACAAAATAAATTTATTTATTTATTGAGAAAAACTAAAAATGGACATCCCCAAGAATACAAAAAACATAAACTGTAGAGATTATTTTCTTAATACATAAGGTATACTTCTGCTACGCAAAAAAAACAAACCAACACTAAAACATCTTTCTCCATAAGTGAATTTTTAAGGGGGAACCATGACCACTAATATTAGAACCAGGTGTTTGCATCATGCTCAGTATGTTATCATAAATGCTCCCTACATAGTCAATTAAATGTACTTGCAATTTATAATTGCCTCAAGGGAAATCTGTTACTTTAATGATTTTTGTGTGTCATGACAATTTTACCTGTTCCAGGAGAGGAGAGAATTAGAAATTCATCTTTGCATCATGCCCAATATGTTATCCTAAATATCCAAAACATTATCCTCGTACTTCCAATATATTTAATTACAAATACCTGTAATTTACAAACTCCTTTTGGGAATCCTGATTACAGCTAATTGTTTTTTGTGTGCCATGAGTATTTTTACCTGCTCCAGGAGAGGATGGTTCAAACCCACTGGATGCATCACTGCATGTATTTGAAGCTTGTTCTGCAAGTTTCTTCTTTGCGGCTCCGTCTGCAGACTTGTGGGATTTCTTTTTATTCTTCACAAGAATCTTTCCCATCAGCTCTGCTGGGCTTGGAAGAGGAACACCACGTTCAAGCTGATAAGAAAAAGGAGATGAGAAATAATGGTGTCCCTTTAAGCCTCCATTTTTCCCCAGTATTAGAAGCCTTTGCTTCTTCCCATCTACTAACAGTGGAATTAATAAACAGAAACCATGTATCAATGAACTACAGGAAGAAAATATCTATAGGTTACTTAAAGTATGCTTAGACTGGGATGACAATCATGTTGTTCCCAGGCCACATGTGGTTCTTTGGGAAGATGCTGTGTTATCCTTGGAAACTCATAAAATCTCTGAAAACATGAAAAAAATATTTTTGCACTTGTTCTCTGTCACCTCTTGGGTACAGATTAGACTCTTCCAAGCAGTTTCGGAGGAGGTACTCACAAATAACCTTATTTGTAATTTCAGAAACAACACAGAAAGTAATGAATCACCACTTGCAGCCTGCTAAAATAGTTCCTGCAATAGAATGATGACATCTTCAGAGCAACGGAGCAGCGAAAACGAAGGCATCTGGCCCACACTTGTTCTCTACTGCCATCTACTATCACTAAATAGTGCTTTTCTGCTCTATGTGTATTTCCAATGGGTTTGCCACACTGTTCTGCATTGACTATGTGCACATTATGATCTACTCACATGGTCGTTCTTAGCATTACTTTTCTCTCTATATAAAAAAGGCTAGGACAGATCAGGATGGTGAACCTAGTTCATCACTGTTCAGCACATATTCACTTTACATTTAATTCTGGGCGGCACTTTTAATCTCCTTCTTTAAAAAATATATTTTATGCATGCTTATTTAGCTAAACCTTTGTGGAAAAAAAGTTAAATAATAATAATAATAACAACAACAACAACAACAACAACAACAACAACAACAAACAATTTTATTTGTATCCCTACCTATCTCCCCAATGGGGACTCAGGGTGGTTAACAACATACAGACAGTGGCAAACATTCAATGCGGTAAAGTGCAACCAACAAATAACAAGAGGTATAATTAGAGGTATAATTATTTAGTGGAGCGGAAAGGAATGACTGGAAAGGAATTTATTCTCATCAATATATGCATGTGTATGTGTTGCTCTTTTGAACAGCATAAAATCACACCTGTGTAGACACAGTGAAATGCTATTTTAATTACAGTGTTGTAGCATTTTACCCTGGGATGTCATGATGTAATATGGTATCACTGGGCAAAATGCTTTAGTGGTATCATTAAAAAGTTCTTAACTCCATCTGCACAGGTGTGTTTCTGCTATTTAAAAATAAAAATAACACAAAGGTGTAATACAAATAGCAGACACCAGTGAAGCTATATTGAAGATGTTTCGAATGCACTTTCCCCAGAGGACAATACCGATTTCAAAACCTGTTTTAGTTTGCTCTTAAGTGCAACACTAAAGGCATCTACACCTGTGGAGGTTGTATACTCTTCTATTTTGGATGGAAAAGCAGAACTTTCCTGATGAAACAAAATGCATAAACAAGAGAAATATCAAGAGTGGCGGTATGAGTTGTGATGATTCCAAAGTAAATTCTCATGTGGAAGCATCCTTAGCTTCAGTTGTGTTCTTTTCCTGAGAAGAATGACACTGTCCACCTATTATTTTTATATATGGACAGAACATAGTCAAGCTTTTTCATAACTGCCTGTATTAAGGATTTCTGAGTAACAAGAGTGAGTTTGGACTCCCATCTGTCCCCAAATACGTGACAGAGGACACCTCATAAGGATCTGGACATCTAAATTGGTGAGAACACATTTTCTGTCTTTTGTATGCTCTAGCAATGCAGGGGAATCTGATTCAACCTATGTTCAGTTGTCTTTGGAGAGAAAGAATGCAACAGGGAGCCAAGTACAGCAAGGACTAAATTAGATAAACACATGGTTTGATTTTTTGGCATAAATATGTAAGAAAACATTTGTTGGTAGTATTATCTTCATTTTATTTAGTAACATTACTTTCTAGATTTTTGAAATGAAATAAGGGTTAGAAGGTTATTGAAGATATGAGACATATTCTACTGATCCACAGATCCATTTGGAAAAAATGATACAAATTTGATACAAAGGGATTCATTTTGCATTTGAAAATCGTGAAAACATATCTTACATCATATGGAACTATTGTTAGTAATGTATTTTCCCAATTAAAGGTCAAGATAAAGGTAAAGGTTTTCCCCTGACATTAAGTCCAGTCGTGTCCGACTCTGGGGGTTTGTGCTCATCTCCATTTCCAAGCCGAAGAGCCGGTGTTGTCTGTAGATACCTCCAAGGTCATGTGGCCAGCATTACTGCATGGAGCACCATTACCTTCCTGCCGGAACGGTACCTATTCATCTACTCACATTTGCATGTTTTCGAACTGCTAGGTTGGCCGAAGCTGGGGCTGACAGCGGAAGCTCACACTGCTCCTCGGATTTGAACCTGTGACTTTTCGGTCAACAAGCTCAGCAGCAGCTCAGCAGTTTAACTCATTGCCCCATTTATGCCCCATGTAACTATTGTTAATTTTCTATCTTGCTGCTTTACTTTTTATGTAAACATTTGTGGCTTTTTTTTTACTGAATATACTTATTTTTTTAATGATCATTTAGTTCCTAAATCCATAACTAATCCATAACATGCAAAATTACAATGAATACAGTTGTAATCATATTTTTTTAAAGAATATAATTCTTTACTTCCCTGATAATATAACGAAAACAGTATTCGAAAGCAAATAATGCCACTTTAGTTCCAAACCCGGATTTGAACAAGCACACCATAATCATTAGAAGAGTCTCTTTTCCTACTAAACAACAAATTGGTTGTCAATTCGGAGAAGGAAGGAGATAGGGAATGAAAAGAAGGAATGAGATAGGGAACAAAAAGAAGTGGTTTGCATTTGCAAGTCTCTATTGTGAAAGGATAAATTCTGTAAAATTATATAACATGCATTTGTTGATAGCTATCATTATATTACAAATTATTTTTAAAAAAAACATGGAAAAAAAGAGTAAATTGACACTTTTTTAAAAAAAATCTGACCAGACAAAACAAAAAAGGAAACTGTCTTACTGGGTATTTTTCCAAGGGGTCCATCAGCAAAGCATCACCAAATATTAATCTGCAATATTCTGCCATTTTTGCCTGCTGTTTGGGGCTGAAAAGTGAAGAAAGCATACAATTAAATGTGGCTTATTCATAGCGTTGAAAGTGTCAGTAATGGAAAATGTAATATCCTTTAACCAGATGAAGAGGTATAATTTTCTGATCCTATCGGTTTAAATTGTTCGCCATGCTCTACAATCATTATGCTGTTATTCTAACTTCTGCCACAGTCCTGACTGCACATTGCTCATACATCACTATTACAAGTCATTTGCAGTAATAAAGGGGGGGGGGGTCCCTTACATATATGCAAACAATATAAATCCTTACATAATATTTTTTCTTATATGTTTTGTTCTAATTTTACTCTACTTAGAACTTTGCAATTCCTACTGTAGCCTTCACTCTCTGCTTTACATCGCTACTCATAATCAGTTCTTGAAAGACAATTTTGAAATTGAATCCATGTTGATGTGTTTTTGCTCTTTCACGTTGTTTGTTATTTTAGCTTTAACCTCAAGGCTACATGATGAACATGACTGGAACTACAAATTGCCATTAATCAAAAACACACTTTGGTAGGTGAAATAAGGACACCAAAAGGGAATATAATTAATATGCATATTGCATCCTGATGACACAAAATTTGCAGAACAATGCTGTGTGCACTGGGGATTGGAACTTTTATATAATTTTGCCCTGCTGAGAAGAAGAAAAAAAAAACATATTGCTGCGCTGAATGGTTCATTTACACTAGGAATACGAAAAGGTCTGGTCCACATCCAGCCACATAAGGCTAAATTTAAGTCTTCAGGAGTCACAGCTGAATTAATTTTTTTTCCATAGACCCTAAGAGGAGCTGAATACTCAAAATTAACACCTCATTCCAATGTATCACTAGGGACAGACATACATAATTCCCAAACCTGTCTTATTGACTTCTATAGTTCTCAAAATTGTGCATATCAATTGAAAACTTGGAAGTTTATTTTGATTTTTTAATCCAAATTTCTGTCTTGTTGTTGTGGTTGTTAATCCTGTTTTCATAGACCCTACAATTTTATCAGCCCCATGCATCATGTTTAAAATGCCTAATTAATAAGGAGGTCCTCCCAAGACCCCCACCCCCATTTTTGTCTTCTACTACCACATACTTGCCCAGAAGGCATGGGATTGTTTTATCCAGGGCACCAGGACATTTGAAACCTTGGAGGTGTCCTTTTGTAAAAAGTACCATAAGTAAATCAAAGGTTGTCTTGTGGTTCACTTCCAGTTGATAAAAGCTTCTCTTGGTTGGAAAATTGAGGAAGGGGAGGTTAAAAGTGGGTGCAGAAATGCCAGATTTTAAAGATGTTTGGCGATAGAGATGGTGAGCCCCTCCAAGGTCCAGGGGAAAGGGCTGACTCTAAACTTCTAGTTTCCCCTATACTCTAAACAAGTTACTATGAGAAAGTCTTGTAGGAAATGGTTTCTGTCTTGTGAGCAAGATAGTCACATTTCATTTGACACCATGACTCTACCAAGAAAGTCTTTAAAACAGAGTCAACCCATGAGCAACAGGGGCAACAGACAGACCTTGGTATCCGTCAATATAGCCTTCTGTGAACGCCCAATGACATTGTACCCATAACAGGATGTTATAACTAGTGTCATGTTAATGCCTAAAGTAGGAGGTGAATCAATCCTACATATCTTGTTTCCCAGTAAAACTGGACTCCTGCCAGACCAACAAACAGCTGTTTGGCAAGAGCTGGTGAAAGCCCAATTATGTTGGGACATGAGGTACACAAGAGTGACTTTGACCTCATTTAGCTCTTTGAAAATCTAGAGCAAGGGACATACGTTGCAACTTTTGAGATCCTATCCCACTCCCACAACTGTATAAATATATTTTAAACACTTTTATTAACCCTTTTTTTCAAATTTTACATAAAAGTATAGGGGGAGAGGGGTTCTGGGAAGGACCAGGATAGGTATGGGACTGGAAAAGTAGGTAAGGGGTGGTTGGCCAGGAGGGGAAGGGGAAAGAGAGAGAGAGAGAAAAGGGGGGGGGGAGTGGAAGATGTGGGCTGGGATTGAAAGTTAGGAGAGTATTAGGCAAAAATGGGGGGGGGGGGGGTTTTGGCTTCCCAATCCTCTTCTCAACGTCTTCATATTCTTTTCTTTGTGTTTATTTCTTCTTTAGCCTGGCGACTCATCTTTTGAATGTAGTTTTCACAAATCTTTAGTTTGTTTTATTTTATTATGCTCTGTTTCATTACCTCTGGTAGATATAAATCAGCCACGTTTTCAGATAGTCTTCAAATCTTCTAATTGTTTCCAGTCAGTTTTCCTTATTGGATATATATATATATAAATCAGCCACGTTTATTTTATACATATATATATATATATATATATATATATATATATATATATATAAATAAACGTGGCTGATTTATATATATAGGTTATATATAGGTTATATATATATATATATATATATATATATAGGTTATATATATATAGGATATATATATATAGGTTATATATATATATATATACGTGGCTGCTTTATATCTATATCTATATCTATCTATCTATATATATATATATATATATATATATATATAACATTGAAGTTTTAATATCATTCCATACTGCATTGAAAAAGTGAATTTCTATGCATGAAAGCTCATGATAACACATTTAGTCTTAAAGGTGATCCCATATTCAGTTTTCTCCCCATTCTCTTCACCCTCCTTATTGCAACTGAGACTCTCATCAGAACTTGGAGAATGCAGGAAAAGGAGTCATCCTCTCTTGATTTCTTTCTCAGCAAGATTGCTAGCATGAATATGAGGTTAAAAAACCTCTCTTTCCCAGAATTTGGTCATAATGCATGCAGGCCAAGTAGATTCCAGGAGTTTTAATTCAAAGAGATGACTTTCCATAATTCTGATCTTTTTCTTCCCAGTGATCCTGAGTAGATTAATTGACAGGGGAGAAGGTTTCACATTACCTTTCACATCCTTGAAATCTTGTTCAACTCTACAGTCATTAGAGAAAATTTAAGTCATTTCCTCAAAGATCTGATATAGTATCACTGTGTTGGTAGAGAGAGAGTGTAGTCTTGTCTTCTTCTCAAAGACCCAACTCAAAATTGTAAAGACAAAGGTTTTCCTCTAAATTGATTGATTGTTTATTACGCTATTGTTTTAATTGTTTTTAACTGTTTTATGATGTTTTGGGAATTGAATTTTGCTATTGTTAACCGCTTTGAGTCGCCCAAGGGCTGAGAAAAGCGGTATACTAATACAGCAAATAAATAAATAAATAAATAAATAAATAAATAAATAAATAATAAAACACCAATTTGGAGCACTATGTGAACATGTCCTCCTTAATGTGTAGACATCAGGGCCTTAAAAAATTACTCACACCTGACTTAAGCAGATAGGCTGGTCTCTATCAACTACAAAACAGTAATTTAAAAACTACTGTTTTTAAAACCTGGCTGTAGGTAAGCAGCATCAAACAGTGTCAATATGCCACATTTACTGCAATATTAATGACATCAGTTACTTACAACATTATATAATATTTATATAAACATTTAAATTACTTACGAATCCACGTGATTTTCAAATGAGAGGAGGATGGGGAAAGGAGATGTCTTAAATGCACATTCAGCGATAGCTTCTATTACTTCCTAGGTAGAAGAAAACAGAAGAATAACTAACACAGAGATTTTGGGGTGTTATGTGTGTGGTTGTGGTGGAGGACACATTCCACATTCTAATAAAAGGGATTTAACATTTAAACATAAGCACTCTGGTGGAACATCAGAAGCATAGCCACATATTTTCCTTTCTGTGTTTTCAGTCAAAAAAAGGATCAAGGAACTGCCAGGAACAATTCATCTCAGCTTGATTTGCTTTCTAATCTTCAAATGTTGCTAAGATGTTCTCTTATTCCACTGTTGTGGTTGCCAGTAGAAGAACAAACAGTTGCTTGCGCTGAGAATTCCCCCTTCACAGGACACAACTGTATGCCTAAAGCTACCTCTTTTATGGATTATATTTGCATAATTAAAAGAGTCGTGTATTGCCTGATGGTGTTTTGTGCATTTCAAAGGAAGGTTAAATTTCAATACATTTTTGTTACTTAAGCTGAAACATGTCAGGGTTGTGTTTGATGTAGGTTAAATGCCTAAAAAGGATATTCACAGACTCAAGTAAGTGTGGCTGCACAGAAACACTTCCTAAAGAATGCTTATCTGGCCCTTTCTACACAGGTATTAAATTCCAGGAGAAAGTGGATGAAAGGAGGGTGGCTTGATGACATGCACCAAAAATACATGCTAGATTGTAGGATGGCACGAAAAACACGTGATTAAAAAGGCTTGCTTAAAATCCATGATTGGAGGACTATATATCACTGCACTAAAAGAAAGCACAAGAGTTCCTTGTGATATGCTAGTATAGACTGCTCCAGTGCTTATCCTCATTTTATTATCCCGAAATGGCTGATGGGGGATGTAAACAGATGGAGTCAAATGGAAGTATGAGAAGAAAGCAATTTCCATGAGAGAACTCTCTCCATCCATTCTTTGTTCTCATATTTCTGAAATTAAACACAGCTTGAATTTACACAGTAGGCACCAGCATGCCAGGCAAGTGACCCCAAAGGGGAAATTTAAAGGTACCAGGATGGTGAGAAGAGATGATAACAAGAGATCTACTTGTGTGCATTTTGTTGTATCTGCACTAGCATTTATTTAACAGGCGTATTTTAAATCAATTGTTTAATTGCTGTTTTAATATTTTAATGTATTATTGATTGTTGATTGTTTTTATGATGTCGGCATCTTATGATGCTTTTGTGAGGTCGCCCTGAGTCCCCCCATGGGGATGAGAAGGGAGGGGTAAAAATATAGTAAATAATAAATAAATAAATAATGAGGTGCAGCATATCTCAGAGCACCAATAAAGGGAAAAGGTTAAAAGAAAAATTCCAGCGGATGTCCCGTACCTTTTGCAATGCCCTTAAGGGCCTCATCATAATTGAACATTTATCTACTTTAAATTATATGACTTCCTCCTGCAAAAGTTTGTAGTTTGTAGTTTAGGGAGGAGCCTTTAAACTGCTCATCCAGAGAAGCCCCAGGCCTCCCTAAACTGTAAAACCAATAATTATGCAGAAGGCAGTCACAGCATTTAAAATAGATTGAAGTGGATATATGTCAAGTGCGATGAGGCCCTTAATCTGCATTATCCAAATCTTTCTGGATGCTGCAAGACCATTACCTGAGACTAATGATTCCGTGTGAGGGCACTCCTTTAGGTACCAGGGTTTTTAATCCCACTTTCTTACTCGAGATGAAGCACCTGCCTGGAAGGGCCTTTACTCAATAAATAAATAAATTATTATTATTATTATTATTATTATTATTATTATTAGTGTCTGGCGTGTGATCCAATTCAACAGCCAGCAGAGTGTCTGCTGTGGACTCATCTTGTGTTAATAATAATAATAATAATAATAATAATAATAATAATAATAATAATAATGATGGAACTCTGAAAAAGGAGACAGAGGGCCTGATTCCGGCAGCCCAAGAACAAGCCATTAGAACCAATGCCATCAAAGCCAGAATTGAAAAGTCGACGACAGATCCCAAATGTAGACTCTGCAAGAAAGCAGATGAAACAATAGATCACATCCTCAGCTACTGCAAGAAGATCGCGCAGACAGACTACAAGCAGAGGCATAACACCGTTGCTCAGATGATCCATTGGAACTTGTGCCACAAATACCATCTGCCTGCAACAAAGAACTGGTGAGATCACAAGCCGGAAAAAGTTACAGAAAATTAACATGTCAAACTACTCTGGGACTTCTGAGTTTTGGAGCACAATACTCCTAATCTCACGTTCGTGTTAAAAAACAAAGTGTGGATTGTCGATGTTGCAATCCCAGGTGACAGCAGGATTGAAGAGAAACAACTGGAAAAGCTGACACGATATGAGGATTTAAAGATCGAACTGCAAAGACTCTGGCACCAAGGTGGTCCCAGTGGTGATCGGCACACTGGGTGCAATGCCTAAAGACATTGGCCTGCACTTAAACACAATTGGCACTGACAAGATTACCATCTGCCAGCTGCAGAAGGCCACCTTACTGGGATCTGCATGCATTATTCGCCGATGCATCACACAGTCCTAGACACTTGGGAAGTGTCTGAGGTGTGATCCAATACAACAGCCATCAGAGTGTCTGCTGTGAACTCATCTTGTGTTTCAAATAATAATAATAATAATAATAATAATAATAATAATAACAACTTTATTTATAGACCACCCTCTCTCCCCGAGGGGACTCAGAGCAGTTTACATACAGAAAGACAAACATTCAATGATGTAGACAACAAAAACACACAAATCAAACCAATAATAAATAAACTTATATTGTCAAGAGAAAATAAAAATTAAAAATATCATTAAAAAACTGATAATTAAAATAATAATTAAAACGAAAGTTGGAATTTGTTCTCATACTTTCTCCTACACTCTGCCTGCATCTGTTCCAAACATATATTTTTCCTCATTTCAAAAAACGTACTACAGCTGCTCTGTCACACTGAGAACCAACACTGGATGAGGCAGAGAAAAGTATGCCTCTGAGTGCTAATGAGTTTCCCCAGTCAAAACATCTCAGAGAAATATCCAACATTGCTCTAACTTCCTTTTTCCTTCACTCTGTTAAGGAGCCATCAACCAGCCATTAGCTTTCTTTTTGCTTTACATGGAAGATAAAGTATTGATACCAATAAGCAGTGGGAGAGCCTAAGTACAAGACATGTTTGACATGGCTAATTGTCACTGACTGGTTTAATGGGGTTAGGCAAGTTTGTAGGAATCTTACAGGGCCCAGAAATACATTGCTAACAATGCAGCTCTGCCAGAGAAGGGAAGTAAAAAAACACCCACAAACCATAAAATCAACACAACCTATGAGAAGAAAACTGCCATGACAGCTCTTTATGAATTGCACTCTTCTAGACCATCTCTCAAATGTATTTTTCAGGAAAAATAAGGGGACTGAAAATAAATACATGGTTCTTCATATCTCAGCTAGCTGTATTATTCAGTTAACATTTTTTAAAAGAACAAGAAGAGAGCCAGTTGCATCAAGATGAGATCCCATTAGTTTTTTGCGGAGCACATCTCAAATCTGTTTATCAAGGGGAAAATGTGAATTATATAGACAGCTCTGGTTGACCAATGTGCTGACTAATGATCAATCTCTGATAACTGAATTGATTCACAGAAGATTGTTATAGGTACTTTTTGATTCTGCTATTTAAATGTATGGCTCGACTGTCAAACTGAACTGCAAACAGACAACATTTTAAAATTTTAATGGAATCGGAGCTATAATGAGCTTGGTTCAAGTATCCTGACATTTTCTACAGAATGCTACAAAATAGTTTATAAAAATAAGGCAAGACCTCAAGTTATCCTCAAAATGTCATGTAATGTGTCTTTAAGCCTTTAAAGTATTTTTATACACTACATTTAGACACTGTTTAAATACTACAATTAAAGTAAACATATGTCTCATAAAGACATACATATCAATAGATTATATTTCTAAACTATATTTTATGTCTTGCAAAACTTAACATTTTTTAACCAGGCCAAAATTGATAAAATCTGTACCAAACAAATCAATGTAATCTTTTAATACTAGGATTGGCAAAATGGTAAAATAACTGTAATAACAACCAATAAATTAAACACTAAGCAAAATAGCAGATAAATGCCAACCAATAATTTTAGATGAGGAAATTAAAACTGCCAGAATGGTTTTAAATCCTGTAAAACCTAAAAGAACAAAAATGGATTTTTTCTGGCACTACAAATATAAAACATAAAATCCTGCCCTGGGGGAGGAATCTGAAGGACGAGGCTGTTATGGCTTCTGTAAAACCAGTAGTAAGTTTTTTTTTTGTGGGATTGCTATCTTCTCGGCACCAGATGTGTTAGGAGAAAAAGGACTCATTCTGGTGGTTATTATTTATTTATGTCATTTTTATCCCGCCCATTTCAGCCCGAAGGTGACTCATGCAGGCTGCATGAATCTACTCTTTAAGACAAGTAAGTTAGGGCTACTTCCAGTGGGATATAACTGGGTTTTTTCTTCGTGGTGTCTGTGAATACACACGTATGGAGTTACTGCGCCTGCGCAGGACCGATCGGAAACTTCTCAAGTTATACTTTTGAATTTTTGGCGGTATGCCCGCCCACTCCTCCCAAGGACATAAAGGGCCCCCTGGCCGTACGCTCCCCAGTTCGTTTTTTTCCGCCGCCGCAGCGACTTCGGAGCTTCGAACAAGTCTTCTGCAACATAGGGGCTTTCGTCCCCTTCACGACATTGGTGCCATTTTCAACTAAACATCGTTGGAGGCTCACAACAACTGTGCCATATTCCAGCCTCCCCTCCACCCTGAGAGGGGCTGCCGCTGAAGACCGCTGCCGTCCCGATATTCAATCGGCACCCGGCTGACTTTATGAGGTTTGTCTAAACCTAAAAGCGGTACCTTTTGATTGGAGTCGAAGAAAGCTCCAACGGCCCAGGCACATTGGATAATCAGACGGATGGAGACGGCCTCTATCACCCAAACGGTGAGATCCTCCAGTCGCCCTT